AAACATATGGTTCACCATCACTATGACCTCCTAAGACTGCCTCAAAGAGAGTTGAGGACATCCTGGCAGGCGGAATGGAACAGGTCCGCACAATTTAAAGGCCGGTACTATTTTTCAGTACAACCACGCATTCCTCCGAAGCCTTGGTTTTTTAATTTTAAAAAGGTGTCCAAACAAGTTGTCTCCACCATATGTAGGCTTCGTATTGGCCACTGCAGCTCACCTGTCTTCTTGAATAAAATTCGGGTGCGGGACTCGTCTCTATGTGAGTGTGGCCTGGATGAAGGCAACCTGGACCACATCTTCTTTAATTGTAGTAAAAATAATCCATCCTTAGACCTTTATTCATACCTAACTAAATTAAAAATCCCCCTCCCTATTAACTTTGCATCCCTACTTACCTTTTCCTCCCCAAAACTTTTACAAGCCTTGATGTTTTTCATCCGCTGCAATGGCATCAAACTTTGACCTGTGTACCTAATTTAATGTTGTGATGTTTATTTGTGTTTGTCTACTAATTATCTCTTTATATATTACATACATACTTTATTTATTCGTATTTGTCTGTTTGTCTCAGTGTACTAACCACAATCAAAAGACCCATATGCAGTCCACCTGCTAATTTTGGAAAACTTAATGGTTGCAAATTCCTTTTCTCTTATGTATTTCTCTTAACCCACGTATTTCCATCGCACTTGACATTGGCAGAATTGTCGACATCGGCACAGTTTGCCATATAATAAGAAGAAGAAGAAGAAGAACCCTAATATCATTTGGGAACAGTTTGTTTTTAAATATTCTAGTTTAATGTGTAATTAAATAAAATCAAAACAAATAATAGTTAAAGACACAGGTTCTTTATTAGGTGGAGTATCCTTGATGGGCGTAGATAATATAATATAATGGGCGTCGAGGACATAGCAAAATAAAACTAATTTGTAAACACTGTTACACATTTTAATGAATAGAGTAGGTACAAGATGTTTTAATAAATGACTACCTATCATTTATTAAAACAATTATTCAGACTCTGAACCAGATTCGCCAGAGCTGTCATCGCTATCAGTCACTTGTATGACAATATCATTGTCTATAATGGTGTCCATTCTTATATCGCGTTCATAATCTTCTGTTGTCTTATTAGTTTTCGAGTCTTTTCGACGACCTTGACCCAATCTTCTTTCGTTATTTTGCTGCAAGCATCTTTTAATAGACCCATCATCACGAAATGTTATACAATTACCTACATGTAAGGGACATGAGATATTTATTTCTTAGTTATGTATCTTTTTACTTATATGCTGAATATTGGATGTTATAATAGTACAAATTATTCATATTCATAACTTATGCGATAAAAAACAATACCTTTGATTTGTGCCCATATTAGCTCAATGGCATTGTACTGGCAGTGATAAGGCGGAATTCGAAGTACCCGATGTCCATGTGCCAGAGCTATCTCATCTACTTCATAACGGACTCTTGATGTTTTATTTTCGCGTACCAACTTTACTAAGTCAGACTTTAGCATTTCGGCAGTAGTTTCAATTCCATTTTGGTGTAGCCATGCTACGAGATCAGCTTTCTTGTCGGCCTGAGTAGGCGCTTTATTCACTTGTTTCGAGTGATATGAAGCGTTGTCCATTATTATGATAGAACTCTCTGGCAGGCTGGGTAATAATTGATTTTCGAACCAATTCGTAAAAGTGTCTGTATCCATCTCCTCGTGGTAATCGGAAGTACTTTTTGACGCGAAAGCCAGCAGTCCATTTTCAAAGAAACCACTTCCAGCAGAACCGGCGTGACAAATTATCAGTCGCGATCCTTTTCCAATTGGAACCTTTGAGGTTGATGCTTTTGTTTCGTCAGTCCAAGAGCGTGACATAGTGTGGTTCGCATTTAACCATGTTTCGTCAACAAAAACGACGTTGTCCCAAGACTCGATTTTCTGGTTTCTCTTAAAAAGTCACTCCTTTTAATTATTAAATCAAATCTTTCCATTAATATTTTCCTTTTATTCGTTTTTTATATTCAAACCCAATTTCGTGCGATAGTTTTGACAACGCCGTTTTACCGCCTTTAAACAAGCCAGCTTCTTTTAAAGAGACCAAAAGCAAACGTCTAGTTGGAAACTCGTTCCTAGTATAATAACCATATATGTGGTTTCTTATTGCATCTGCATCAAAAACATCAACACCTGTCACGGGCTTTTGTCTTCGTTTTTTCTTAGGAGTGCGTAAAACATTATCTTCACTTCCAGAAGCACCAAATTTTTCTTTATTTATATTACATAGTGTTTTTGCACCAATTCCAAGAGCTTGTGAAACCCGATCTTTTACTTGAGTGACAGGAATCAAAGGGCCGCCATTTTGTGACTCACGCTCAAAGTAATCCTGTAGCTTTAGTACAAGCTCACGACATTGACTATTCAATGTTTTTCCTCGTTTCGGCATTTCCAACAAAATTATCAAACACAAACAAAATTAGCCCAATAAAGCGCAACGATAAACAGGAGAAAGCCGAGTCAAAAAACAACGGTTACACAAGAGAACGTAGTCTGTGCGCACGAGAGTACGGAAGACGACTAAACAGATTAAAATAGCGGTGGTAAGGGTGTTGCCAGAATAGTATCGCCAATTACTTAAAAAAATACACCTATAACACGGTACAATTACAATACAGTACTCCAACTTCATACAAACGGACGAAACGCGAGCTATACCTACGCGCCTCGATCTCGGGGTGCGCTCGGGGCGCAGACAGTCACGGCTGTACCGCAGTGTCGAACGGACGGTGAGTTGTTTTTTTTAACAATAACCGCGCGATTTTTTTTTCTCTAAAAATCAGTTAATATGACGAGTAGGAAATATTGTGTTGTTTTTGGTTGTATGAATTCCTCAATAACGCATCCAGACATAAGGTTTTTTTAAATTACCTGGAAACTCTGAAAGGTAAGACTATAAAATAATTTTACTTACTAGTAGGTAGGTACATAATGTGTGTCTTTTTTATGGATAAGTATTTCCTTTTATCTCACGAAAAAAAAGGTGTTTGGATTAATTAATAAAACGAATAGAGTAACGGAAAGTTATTGAGACGAGTGAAATAGGTAGTTATATGAGGTTCTGAATGAATCATGATACGGTAGGTACCTACTTACTTATGCTTGTGTTAAAACTTCGGTGCATGTGTGTTTTGTTACTTTGCATAATTCAAAGTAAAGACGTGGTATTTTATTTTTAATAATATTTTTTTATTATCTGTGTGTATGAATAATACTAGAAAAAAATTTTTACCGTCTGTGTGTCATTAGATAGTTTTCGAAATTTTCACAAAGTGTTTCTGCTGCTACTATAACAACATATACCACTAAAAACTCCTCCAATGCAGAAAGAAAATAAAATAATTAAACCTACCAATCAAAAAACAACACGCATTTTTATTAAACACTTCCTATTCAATATACAAAGTATTTCATTTATTTATATAAAAAGGATATTTACAATGACAAATCTAAATAGAAACAGAAAGGGCAAATATAATTAAAATGCTGGAGACGGGCAGCCCTAACGCATGTTTACGTACCGCGTGGCTGTAGGCATTTATTTCTATCATGCGGCCGAGTTACACTACTGTATTATAATAGTACCGTGCCTATAACATTGCTTAATTGAGGGAGAAAATTATATTTATTAAATTTTGTTTTATATATTATAAATGTTAAAAATTATACATAATCATTTCAATTGTATTTATTTTGAAATCATAGAAAACAGTATTTCTGTCTTTGGATCACATATAAATCTTAAAAATCATAAGATACTGGCAACACAGTGCAATTAGGAGACGCAAAAAAATGGTATCATTATATTTAGTCTAGTTGCTCGAAGGAATAAGTAAAATAAAAATATCCAAATAAAATAAATATCATATCTATTCCAATGAATTCGGACCGAATACTATCAAGCACATCACTATGAAAACTAGACGCACGATGTAACTTTGTACAAGTGCGCCAAAGAAAAAAAAAATGTTTTCATATTATTTACAAACTATTTTAAGTTTTGAAACAGAGTTTATTGGAAAATTACTTGATTCTGACATTTTGACATAAAGTTTTAAATTAAAGAGGTATTCTAAATCATTCGGCAAATGTGTCGCTCGTGCAAGGTTATATCGATTAATTTAAGAATAATCTGTCAAATCGGTAATAACTCAGCGGCCCTACTATAGCACACCGTAATAGTACTATTAACTACAGTTTTAGTAGAAGTAGAAAACTTAAGCGTTTGTATTGATATTACCAACATTAATGAAACGGAATACTAATAATTAAATAAATTAAAATACGTAATTTAAAAAAAAAGTTTTATAGTTTTTTTTTTACATAGATGGCTTTGTATTAGGCAGTTACTTTTCTTCAGTATAGAAATAATTACACAGTTCTTGATTATTTTTAATGTGTTATCCCTTTCTGAATCCCAGAAACCCTAACAGTTTGACTTTTAAATACGATTTTTTGGATTACTTTACACTAAATTTTTAAGCATACTATTTGATTTTCCTTCATACTTTACAACCCAACGAATTGTAGTACATTCTGTATCGCTGTCCCTATTACTCTCACACTGTTTACCAATACGGAACAATAAAGTGGAGCATTAATAGTACGTCGCACAGCTGCCTTTCGGAAACATTACTTTTAGTACAATACCCAGTACTAGTACTTATCAGTACATCGTACGTGTACTACCCAAGACTGTGGCACCAGTCTGTGGCAGTCAATGGGTAACACGGGTAACACTGATGTAACTTCAAATGGTACCAAATGAAATGTCACCGAACTCATGCTGTGTGAAAATTTTTAATATCTATTCACATTATTTCATAAATTAAAATCAAAAAAAGAAATCCTTTCAGTTCGGTGGTAAGGACACAGTAGATTGTATAGAGTGTATATAAATTATTGGACCGTGATAAAATATTTCGATTTAAAAATAATGTACTCTATGAAAAATATCGTTAATTATAATGCTGAAATTATTTTACCAAATTGCATGTATACCATAAAAAACAGAACTATTTGTTCAAAGGAAGACGATATCAACATCAATATCAGTAACCAGGTTATCAAGTTTCTGAAGGTTTATGTCACTGTAATTTACCCCCTAACCTATAATAATGCCCATTCATTCTTTCATTGTAATGCCTTGTGACCCAATTAAATAATAATTGTTCCTTAAATCTTCGTAACGATCAGTATTTTAAATAAAGTTTGACTTATTTCACTTGTGGGCAGTACCAATTGGTGACAACCATACATTTAAATAATTATTTGCACTACATTAAATTTACATTCTGTTACTGCTTGCATACCTAAATAGGTATCATTTTCTGTTTTTACTTAATTACACCGAGTATTGTTGTATATTACAGGGATCAAACATAATGACAGAGTTAGAACATCGACAAGATCAATTGTTACAAAAACTAGATACCCTTTATGACAGAATAAAATCTATTAGCTCTCATTGTAACATTGAAGAAATAAAAACTTCTAGTAATCTAGTAAGTAATTTGGTATATAAATAGGTTATTTGATAAATTAAATATTATCTACATACATCCATACTTATAAATGTGAAAGAGAGTTTATTTGTTTTGCTTTCATACCTAAGGTAAACCACTAAAGCGATTTTAAAAATTCTTTCACCTATAGAAAGCTTCATTAAATGAGTTTTTAAAATTTCATGGTAACAATTACCCCTTAACTAAAATAAATGAATTATACTTAAGTGACATGAACAGTAGAAGTGGCACTAATTTTTTAATTAGTTAACTAAAATGTAGCATTGTTATTCAGCAATCCTTTAATAAGCATGCATGTTGGCATTATAATAATTCAGGGGTTAATCCCAAGTTTCACTACAACAACTGTGCTGCCTGTAAAGTGGCTATATGCCTACATTAAAATGATTTTTTTTAAATATCTACTTAATTGATATTCATTGTTATAGTTGCCAACACCTGAAGAAGCTGTGCTTGTTGTCAGTCCAGATAGCTTGCCTTGGTACTTGAACATCATTTTGAAGGAAACCTCCATACCAGTCAACATTTCATGGCATATTCATTCTTCTGTGCCTACAGATAAAGTAGCAAAGATAAAAAACTTTGTTAAAAATCTGCAAATGTCCAACAGTGGCCCTAAAATCAATATAAGGTTGATATTTAAATGTGGTAAGTTTTTGTAATGTACTCTATCTACCAGTTTTTTTCTGTTAAGAATTATGTGTCAAAACAAAGATCATGTATCACAATCATAATTTTAAAGGTCATGTTAAGATTTTAATAATCACTTGTGATTGTTTCCGATTTGGTACTATAGTCTATCTAATCTATGAGGTACATTTGAGGTTTGATGTTTCATACTTTTCAAGATGAAACAACTTTGTATGGGCTTAACTCACACAAATTAAATAACCTTTTCTGTAAAACCATGGAGTTATCTAGCTATTTTTATTGTGTCACAAGATGTACAATTCATAATGACTAAATTTAAATCTTTGAAACCAAGCAAAATAACTAATTTATACATAATGATGCTTTTTTTAAAATTTTATTTCAAAGTCACATAGTTAGATCCATTACCATAGTGTTGCAGTTCTTCAAATTCACGTGTGCGTTACCCCAGCAAAATAATGACGAAAATGGTCATTTAAACCTTATAGATAATTAGTTGCTCCCCTTCTGTAATTGTTAGGCACATTTTTAAATTTGTTTCACTTAAACTTTTTTAGTTATTTCAAAAAAACATTTCCTGCTGGGGTAACGTTTGAAACGTTACCGCAGCCAGACATTTTCTTTTTTAATTGTAATATTGAAATAAATGTTAGCTAAATAATTAGTTATCTGGACTAGGTAAATGTTACAACTTATTTGATATTTGTATTTTCTTCGGCTGCGAAGTTATTCGAGATCCTGCTGGAGTAACGTTTGTGGGTTTGCTGGATCTCTGAAACGGGTAAGCGGATTGTAACCATCTTTTGTACATATCTTCTTAAGGATTAGTTTTAATTTGTTCGACAATAAAATAACAAAAATAATGGACCGTTTAAAAATTATTTAGGTAAGTATGAAAACACTTCAATACGTCCTAACACTTTGAAAAAGACCTCTAAAGACTTACTTCAAACGTTATTCTATTGCTTGTAACTACCTTCAAATGTATACGAATTTTCGTAAGAATACTGTGACTAAAAAGTTATGATGAAATGTAGCTCTCCACATTCACGATCACAATGTGTGCAGCCTTTTTTGGTAACCGATAAACCTGTGTGTGGATATATAAACTGAATGTTATGCCAATAATTAGTTGTTTAGTTCAGTTGTCTTCCTGTAAAATTTCAGCGTAGTACATATAATAATTTACGAGATAATCAAATAAAAGTCATTAGAAGGTGCAAGTCCGTGCTAATACGACCATGTGTAGGTGGTTACAAAAAAGCGATCACCCAGTACATTGTGCTGGCTTTTAAAATATGTAGGATATTATTTGCAAGTTTACTACGGATATGTACATAAGTGTTACAAAAAACTACATGTTTTTTAAATAATTTTTATTTAGAATTTTTTATTGCATACCTAATTAGTAATCAGCCGGGAGATTAGGTATTGTTTTGAATGCTGTTGTTTTCTCGTAATGTTTAGGTGAGAGTTAGTCCTAGTCCAGATAACTAATTATTTAGCTAACATTTATTTCAATATTACAATTAAAAAAGAAAATGTCTGGCTGCGGTAACGTTTCAAACGTTACCCCAGCAGGAAATGTTTTTTTGAAATAACTAAAAAAGTTTAAGTGAAACAAATTTAAAAATGTGCTTAACAATTACAGAAGGGGTGCAACTAATTATCTATAACGTTTAAATGACCATTTTCGAAATTATTTTGCTGGGGTAACGCACACCAAATTCACTTGAATAATAATAAGTCATTTTCAGTCCAGGCGTCTTAAATTGTTTAATAATGCTTAAAATTCATGTGACATCCAAATCTCAACGAAAACGCATAATTAAAGTTAAAAGTATGGAAGTTAATGTATTATAAATAAATTTTCGAAGACAAAAATCGCTCATGTCCAAGTCTAGTGTCTTTTATAGTAACATACATAAATCTGTAACACTACATATGATTAGTACATACTAAAAAAATTATATCAAAATCTCTTATGAATCAGATATTTTAGTAATCGATTTCTTTGACCTTCAATCAGTCAGAACTGTCTAATGGTACCTCTTAGATTAAATGGACTATAAAACTGTTAACAAGTATTTATTGACAGTTTTAATTGCCTTCTTTGCTCATTCTTTCATTGTTAAACAGTATACTGTTCAACTATACAATGCTTTTGTATCTTAAAGGATGATTTGAATTCCTTCATGATACTCATTCAGAGGACATCAGTAAACTTTTGAAGAAAAAAATGCATTCCAGTTTTCTATGACACCTTTTACTGTTTTGTTTATTTGATTGTGGAATGCACTGCCGTCAGTCATGCGACATGCAAAAGAGCTTAATATCTTTAACAATGTTGTCTGCAGTACTATAAAAATTTCCATCACAAGGTTGTGATAAAACCGCACATTGTACTCTTGTTGTAGTAGTCTCTTTTCATTATTTCTATTGGTGTATTTACAAGAAATAATAATCTATCTATTTAGATTAATTTGCACTTCCAAGTCATTATATTTTTTCTTTCATGACACTAATAACAAAAACATAAGTGCTGATACCTATGACCTACTACAAACTATGTGCATGCATTATACACAGCACGTTTTTAAATGTCCTAACGGTTACTAGCTTTAAGCCAAAAAAATTTGATATAAAAGGATAAAAAAATATTTTCCTACAGAATTTTTTTTGGGTTTTTGGGAAAATTATCTGAATTAACTACTTTAATTTTCGGTACGCCATTTCCTACACCCTGTATAACTTGTTACTAATGGACAATGCTGTTCAGTTTCAGCTGACACTGAATTGAAGTTGTCTTCTTTGATGGTTCCTGTTATCGGAAATGTAAACATACTACGATACTTATCGTTTGTGTACCCGGGCATAATACTATATGACTCCAATGATCACCAAATGGATTATCTACTTGATGTCTGTCATCTGTTAGAGAGAACTACGGAAAAGAATAAGGAAGCACTGTTCAACAAATTAAGTTCTCAATGCAAAGAATGGATGTATGGAAATCATTTTTCTATAATAGATCTAGCAACATATAATGCATTAAAACAATTCACTACTATTCCTAAATATGTTAATAAGCCTTGGTTTGATAAGTGTGAGAAGCTATGTTCATAAATATTTAGAGAACTATTAACCTGTTCTTAATGCTTAATAAAGCGATAAATAAGCGATATTGTATGATTTTTGTTTTATTAAAGTTACTATCTGGTATACATGACTTCGTTCGCATGGAATTGGAGAAGCGCTTTCTTAGTGGTGTAGTACGGTACGGACCGCCGTTGATGAGGCCTCGGGTTCGATTCCAGGACCGGGCAAGTTTTTATAGGAAAAATAGCCTTACTTACTCCTTATGTAGACAACTGATACTAGTGACAACTACTACAGACGACTACTACTACTGTATGTTTTCTATCCATGGTGTGCAATAAAGAGTACCTATCTATCTATCTATCTACCTGGTAGTAAAATTTTATCAAAATCGGTCCAGCCGCAGCTGTTTTGAAGATTACCCGGAACAGACAGAGAAAACATATTTAAACTGGTGTTTAGGCAAAGGTATCATGCAAATAAAAATGAGCATGAAAGAACGTGTGGGTTACATCAGCAAAATAATGTCTGAAATGGTCATTAGAGGAACTATTTATAATCTTTAACATTTAGTTATAGATTATTATTAGTTCCTCCATTTCTGTAATTGTTACGCACATTTTTAAATTTGTTTATTTATTTATTTATTTTATACTTTATGCACAAATGTGACACAGGCGGACTTAATGCCGTAGGCATTTTCTACCAGTCGACCTTAGGGCGATGCAGAGTTAAAAAAATGGTAGATGCACAGAAATTAGAAATGTGATTTAAAAGAAAAAAAAAAAATAGTATAAATAGAATATCATATGCACATTGTGTGCATATATTATGTTTACATAATAATATACATTTATACATACATATAACTATACATATTATATATATATATATATACATATACATACATACACACAATAAATTTTAGAAGAGAGAGGTATCACGGTAGATCTGATAAGGAGTTTAAGAGATGTTTCCGCAACAGGTATTTAAAAGTTTGCCGAGTTTTTGCCATCCTGATCTCGCGAGGCAGCGCGTTCCATAACAGGACGGATTGTACCAGAAAGGTAGAATGTACGAAGTCAGAGCGGTGAGTGGGACAGTGAAGAAGGAGGTTGCTTGAAGATTTAAGGTTTTTATCATGGTTTGCCCCTAAATATTGAAGTTGAGTAGTTAACTAGGAAGGAGAACTAGGAGAAAAAAGTAAAGAATATAGGGTAGTTAATGCTCGTGTCTCTCTGCGTTGGCGAATTGGAAGCCACCCCAAATGGGAGCGATGCTGCGACACGTGATCATATTTGCGTAAATTGAAAACGAATCGAATGCAATTGTTGAGAAGACGGTCAAGCTTATTGAGCAGATCTGCATTCAGGTCAAAGTAGCACACATCACCATAGTCGGTTATAGGGATTATAAGGGTCTGGGCAAGCATTACTTTAGTTTTTATTGGCAGAAAGTTCTTAAGCCTATAGAGGGCCCGCAACGAGCCTGTGACTTTCTGGCACACAGATGCAACTTGTTTTCGCCAGCTAAGAGTCGTGTCAATATACAATCCGAGGTCCTTCACACTTTCACAGAATGGAATAACCATGCCATCGTAGATAAGTGGCGGTAGTGAAGCAAGGTCGAACTGACTCATACGACGGTTACTTCCGATGATAATACCTTGGCACTTATTCGGGTTCACCGATACGCCAAACATATCTGACCAGTGTTTAATGGCCGCCAGGTCACTATTTAGGATCGAGACCGCGGACGATACATCGCACAACTCAGTTTGATAGTATAACTGCAAGTCATCAGCATAGAGATGATAGGAACACTGAAGTCTTGGGGTGATGAGGTTAATGAAGATAGAAAATAGAAGAGGTGAAAGAATACCGCCTTGTGGGACGCCAGCAGAAAGACCGCGCCAGCCAGAGGAAGAATCTTCCGTCCTGACTGACTGCTGACGATCCTGAAGGTAAGAGGAGAACCAGTCCAGAGCTTCTTGAGAGACCGAGAAATGGGATAGGACAGCAAGGAGGAGTTCATGACTGACGGTATTGAAGGCATTGGAAAAATCAACCAGTACCAAGGTAGTAACCTTAGCATTCTCCATCGCCACCTTAATATCACCAGTCACTTTAAGAAGAGCAGTAACCGTGTTATGGCCTGGTCGAAACCCCGACTGAAGAGGACTCAATAAATTGTTACCATAAATAAAGTGGGAGAACTGTTTGTGGACACAGGCTTCAAGCACTTTGGAGAGGAAAGGCAGAATAGAAATGGGACGAAAGTGAGTGGGAAGAGACGGATTGGAAGTTTTAGGTAATGGGCGTACATACGCTTTCCGCCACAAAGATGGAAATGTGCCAGACATGAGGGAGAAGTTAACGATATGGGAGATAGCGGGGAGGAGGTGGACTAGCAATGTCGTGATCATTCTCCGACTAATGCCATCACAACCAACCGCTTGGGATTTGATAGATAGGACAATTTTCTTAATCTCTCCCTCTGCGACCGGACCAAAGAAAAAAGGACTTAAGTTAGAACGCGGTAGACCATTGATGTAAATAAGAGTATCATGTTCAGATTGACTGTCCAACGTGAATGAGGTAGTGAAATGTTGGTTCATGGAATCGAGACTTATGGATTGAGGAAGGTCTACATGTCGCGACCTGCCGATACCAAGAGTTCCAAGGAACTTCCAGATATCGGCAGGGGAGGAAGAGGAAATATTTTCAAGAACATGGCGGCGTTTAGCATTCCGTATCATCTGATTACACCGATTTCTCGCAGTCTTATATAGTTGCCATTTGACTTCGACACGGTCCCTCTTATACGTTCTAAACCTACGATTTCGGCGTCTCATGGCCATCCGTATACCCTCGGTCATCCAGGGCGCCGGCGGCCAAAATTTGTGTCATTTATAGGTTTTAAGTTATTTAAAAAAAAAAAACATTTTCTGCTGGGCTTAACGTTTGTAACATTACCACAGCCGGCCAAAAAGAAATTGTTCTTTTTTAAATTGTATATTGAAAAAAATATTAGAAATATAATTAGGAATTATAGCTAATATTAGCTAAATAATATGTAATATGGGTTTGCTGGATCTCTGAAACGGGTAAGTGGATTGGAAACTTCTTTTGTACATAACTTCTTAGGAATTACTTTTAATTTATTCAACAACAAAAAAACAAAAAAAAAAAATTTAATTAAGTATGAAAACACTTCAATACGTCCTTACACTTTAAAGACCTCTAAAGTCTTACTTTAAACGTTATTTTATAGCTTGTAACTGCCTTCAAATGTATGTGAAGTTTCGTTGGTGTACTGCAAGTACGAGGGTGGTCTGAAAAGTTTCCGAACTAACAAAGATACAAGACCTACGACCAAGACCTTTTCAACATAGTCTTCTTGTAACTACACACTTTTCCCAGCGATGCTCCCATATCTGTAACCCGTCCAAATAGTACTCGTCGTTTTTCTCTGCAAAATTAATTGTTCACGAAGGTGATTGCCTCTTCATATGACGAAAATCTCTGTCCTCCGAACGCAATTTTTAGATGAGGGAACAAGAAAAAGTCGCTTGGGGCTAAATCATGTGAGTAAGGCGTATGGTCAAGCAGTTCAAATCGTAATTCATGGACTTTCGCCATGGTAACCGCTGAGGTGTGAGACGGTGCGTCTGGATGAAACAGGATTTTCTTTCCTGCAAATGTGGCCGTTTTTCCGCAAGTTCTGCCTTCAGCTTGTCAAGTAATGATGCGTAGTAAGATCTTATAATGGTTTTTACTTTTTGGAGATAATCAATTAAAATAACTGACAACAACAACATGACAATCCCAAAAAAACCGGTCAGGTACGAGTCGAACTCGTGCGCCGAGGGTTCTCCCAAGCTCTTACGGCCACGTTTAAATTTAGCTGCCCAAAATTTCACTGTGGTAAATGATAGTGCAGAGTCCCTATACATAGAATCGTACACATCTTTGATTTGCGTAAGCGTATTGCAATTCAAAAACTAATTTTTAATAACAGCTCGATACTCGATTTTGTCCATTTACATAAAAACACACATCAACTCACTCAAATGACTGCGCGTCCAAAATGGGTGAAACTTTGGAGAGTAACTGTCAACAGATGAATAACGAAATACACTAGCTTTTTCACGAGTGCTGCCATCTTCGTGTTGAGGTCGGATTTTTTTCAAATCACCCTCGTATAATGTATAACTTTTTAATTTTATCCTTACCGAGCTCAGATTTTGTCTACTAACTACTCTAAAATACTACAAAATCATACTAAATTATTGGAGCAACCTCGCAGATCCAATGTTGCTATCCATTGTGGTGGAAGTTGGGCTCGGATATGTAAACAAGCGTTTGTTTTTATAGTTAAACCGCCGTAAGCTTGGCCCTCCTGATGGTTTGGGGGACGCGGGGCGGGGGTGCATTCAACCAATTAGCTAGTGCGTCGCTGTCCGCCGGCAGTGACTGACGCGAAAGCATGGCTTATTATTTTTCTTAAGACTGCTACACACGGTATTATTTAGCAATATGGATAATCTGCCGACTCTGCGTCACAAAAAGATTTAAAAACTTGAAGTTCGGCTTACAGAGGTTCTACTGTTAAAGTTCTAATAAAGCATATTTATTATTTTACTTAATTTTTAAATTGTATCTGAATATAATTTACATGATGAAGATAAGGTGATTATATTAAAATTATTTTACAGTATTAAATTTTACAATTAATCATAAAAACTTACAATACACTGACATTATAATACATGGAAATAAATTCGATTTTTATTACATAGTGTGTAGATAAATCAACAAACACACAAATAAATCTGAAGATATGGAGTTAGTACATCGTGTCATGTATAGCCGAGCGCATCACCCGCCCCGCGTCCCGCAAACCATCAGGAGGGCCAAGCTTACGGCGGTTTAACTATAGTAATTGAATCGTTAGACCCGTATAACGATATTAGAATTGTAGAACAAAAGACAATAAAATAATTTATTCTATTTATTAAGGTAAATAAAAAATATTAATAACTAACATTCAGTGATACAAAGACAATTTGTTTTGTCTTTGCAGTGATGGCACCTGCACCTCTATCGATTTTGTTTATTGAAAATATAATATACTTATGACAGTTATTATTATTTTATAATGTTCTTAAAATACATTCAGATACAGCCAAATAATTGATACATATTAAATCTATGAAATGTAAGTACACTTGATTTTTCTTATTGTGATGAATACATAGTGTAGGTATTCAAGAATATATAGCAATTGAAACAGTCGCGCAAATGCGATTAGTCAACAGCTTGTTTTTGTCACGTGTATGTAGTTTATAAATAAAATTATTCGAATTGCAATTTGTATAGCTACCTACTTTTATTGAGTCTACTATAGAGGTGAAATTAAAAAAAAACATTTAAGAAAAATAAAACAATTACATCACAGTTAGTTTTTGAAGGTATTGTGCCAAAGCTATTTTCATGCATTCGTCATTGTTTCATATTTACAATATTAAAGGATTATATACTACAACTATCAGTCAATTGCATAATTATTAAAATTGTAAAAAATATTATAAAATGCTAATCTAGAGAATATTCACTGCACTGATTTATTGAATATCAATTGTTTCTTACTTCATATTTAAAGGAGGAATAAGCGTTAAGTAATTATATTCTACACACTAATCAATACTGACATATAATAGGGTATTTGAATTTAAAATTATATATGTACAGTATGATTTAGATTACTGCGAGATAACGATTTCGATAAAATTATGATCAACATTGACTTATCGTCAAATATTGTTTCTTCTATTTGTTAAACGTTTTTTAGTTAAATCAGGCCGTTACCGGAAAAACAATTTAGTTTTTAAGAACTATGTTAATTTTAAATTGTCTATTTGTTTTTCCAAATATGTTTGTAAATAAAAAAACCTGTATCCATCAAATGTACTGAATTGGGAATATGCATGTGACTACAGAATGGCCAACATGTTTTACTTATATAAATTAAAAATCTTATTTTTGAGGCATTAGAAATGCTTGTTTTTTATTTGAAATGGGACTAGCGCCCTCGTATGAAATACTTTAAATTATTATGAAAAACCACTAGTTATAGTTAATATGTATTAAAGATGCATTATAAAATACCAAACGAGATCTGAACCCTTATGATTAGCTATTATAATACCTACATCTTAAAAAGAGCAGCTAAAAGTTACCATGGGTTACGTTATTCTATAAAAATGTTATGTGCTTCTTATGAAAACATTCTAATTTGTGGTATGGCATAATTATAATACATTCATGTTATAATAAATATTACGTACTGATTAGTCCTTGGCGAGGTACTAACTTGTTTAATAATATTTATTTTCAACTTACAAACAATGAATATATTTTAGAATATAATTTAAAAAATCTGATGAATCAAAAATTCGTTACAGACCTTATACAATTTGTTTTAAAGCTTATAGATTATATTCGATATGTACAATCGCAATACTTATTATTTAATTATTGGGAATGGGCAGTGTAGGGTTACATGTGCACGGCTTCCGCTGGTGCCGTGCCGGCGGGCTCTTGTCATACGAACGAGGAGAAGCCGGGCAGGGGAGCCCTCGACCGCGCCATATTGTTCATCACGATCTGACCGCCGTTGAGGCTAACGACCGCGCTACCTTCGGGCTCAGAGTCCGTGTAGCTGGAGTAGTTGCGGACAGGCCGCTGCCGCTTCCACGACTGGCGCAGCGTGTCGTTAACGTTCGCATAGTGGTTTACGAATGAATGGGGTTCAGACCTGACACTCTCGTTTTCACTCTCCGAATTCTGTTAAACATTATGAAAATCGTTACTCGTTATTAGTAGATTGGAAAAGACAATACAGTCACTTAGCTAAGTACGTAATACGAGTAATTTGAAATAATTTTCGTTAGGAAAGCAATATTTTATGGTAGTTTGCTTTAATTTAGATGATTAAATAAAATTTATTAATACTATTAAGTTACCGGACTAAAATACTAAACAAAAAACTAATAGAACATCACTACAAAGTGCTGATCTCGACAAAAGCGTGTCGAAAACGATAACGATAGCTGTAGCGAGATCTCATTCTTCGATATTTACCGTATCGTGCTCCAGGGGAGTAGGGAAGAAAAAATAAGGGGCGATTTAGTGAATCCGTGAAGTATTCAAACGACGCTAATTTTAATGGTAATCACCTGGGAGTCGGAGGAGCTCATCTCGGAAGGCTTCTCGGTGACGGACGAGTCGTCGGGGTTCTCGTCGTAGGCGCGCAGGCTCTCCTCGTCGCTGTAGGTGACGGACAGCGGCGTGGGCCGCGGCGGCGACTTGGCCAGCGCCGCGCCGCGCCGCAGCGTGGCGCCGCCCGCGCTGGCCGTGGAGTTCTGGCGCGAGCGGTATAGCTCCATGGCCAGCGTGCCGCGCTCGTCACTCTCGCCCGCCAGAGATTCTTCTAATGTTTTTTGAGCTTCTTCTGAAACATTATATATTATTGTAGCCATAAAATATAAGACGACGTTTATTAGAAGAATATGTTGAACGATAAAACTTACTTTTATATTTATAACTTTTGCTCTTGACGCATAGTATAGCTATGACCATAATGATTATTATGATCGAAGCGGCAGCGAGGGCGACCATGAACCAAGTGCTGCGGTAGAACGGCCGATAATGCAGATATCCGTACTCTAAGTACAGTTTCGACGGAGTTACGATGACTTTCTCACTGTAAGTCGGGTTGCTGATGCCGTACATGTTGTACGCTATTACTCTAAAGGAATAGGCCGTCGACGGCAGAAGACTCTGATATGATATTGTAAATTCTTCTAGCATTCCATTGCTGGTTCTCGTTATAGTTTCCCATCTCGTGTCGTCTGGATAAAAAAAAAATATAGTTTATAGATTTTTCTACACTTAAAGTTTAAATTATTATAACATTGTTAATAAATTATATCGTATAATACTTATGAATTAAAACTTAGTCTTTTAATAATAGATGGTAATATTTTATATTATTTGGTCTTTCATTACTTTTTTAAACGTGCATATAAATGGTTCTGCTAGCAATATTTATCTACATATTTAAAGATGGTGCATAAAACGGTAGATAAAAGAAGCATTAACTTACAAGCCTGCCACGATTCCTTGGCTGCATAAAAACAATCGATAAAAAAATCGATTACGAATTATATATTTAATAAAACTGTAAATATTGTTTATCTCGGTATTTGACTATCTCAACTAACTGTTAATGACAGGATACATTTTTGTATTTATTTATTGTTACAAAATAAGGTACACAGTTTAAACAGTAAGATGCCGCGTAAACTCATTTGAGTTTTTCCGTGCATCAGTGTCATCACTAATACACATTTATATATACTTAAACAATTAATTATTCTAAATTAATACATTGACTAAGACAAGAAAATAACACACATCACAACATCATCAACATATCACCGGTGTACTTACATATATCGGAAAAATAAATATTTATTTGAATGGGTAGTCATTGTAGGTTGTAGGTTCATTTAGTTCACACTGCGTAATACGTCACCGATCACACATTGCCGTTCACAATTTTTCGAAATATTTCGCAAGAAGTATTGTTTTAGTTTACTTTTAAGATTTTTTGTAGTTAATTGTTTCTTAAGTGATACCTGTAACTCGTTAAGCAGAAATAGAATGACATAATGCTAATTTTCTTTTATCGTAAGTGTTAGTGTATTTAGGCAAATTACAACAATGTCTACGACCAACGTTTAGACCCAAAATGGATCTCCGAAAATCATAAAATGAGCATTTACAAATGTAAATGCTTAATTAGTTACACACATTACAAATGTAAATATGCTTAAATTCCGCGCAGCCTGCATAAATTCCGCAACTTATTAAAACCTTTTTTTATAGTCTGTTGTGATGGACACATTATTGACGTATCTGGACCTCATGCTACTGCCACATCCGATGCCCAAGTTATGAACGACATTATTACTAATGAAACTGACAACGGCTATGGTGTTTTTAATTGTTTTTTTAGACAAGGTGATGTATTTATTTTGGATCGCGGCTTCAGAGATGCCATATCACCAATGGAGTCACTGGGATATTCTGCACATATGCCTGAAGCCAAGCTCCGAAATGAAACCCAGCTGACAACGATGCAAGCAAATAAAACTCGCCTTGTAACTATCTGTCGGTGGGTTGTGGAGGTAGTTAATGGGCGTTTCAAACGGGATTTTAGATTTTTGAGACATGTCAATATAAATCGTGCTCTTCCTCACATGTTTGATTGTTTTAAGATAGCGGCTGCTATAATTAATGCATACCATATACTAATAAATAACAATATTCATGCCCAATCCTTTTTGGCCATAATAAACCATAGAATGTCAATCCCTAACACGCTGGCTGATATAGTTGTAAGGCATAATTATAATAGAAGACGAGCACAATTTCAGCCGATGTCCGCCGATATGCCCGAGTTCGATGATTTTCCAAGAAGAGGATTTAATATTATTTAGTTTGGGTATTTATCAAATAAAACAAGCTAAAGCTATTACGGCGAGCACATCAATCCAAATGGTGTTTTTACGGTCGAGCTTGGCGACAGACTTTTAACAGAACATGTCAGAGAATTGGGAGAAAACATAATAATTGTAAGAGGAAGAGTACAATCTCGGCATGTTCGGGCCAGAGTATATTATGTTTACATTGGCATCGACACATCATTGAGTGGCCGTGCCATACCGTATTATTATTGCTCATGCAATGTTGGCAAAAGAACGGTGGGCTGCTGTTCCCACACTATGTGCATAGTGTGGTACATGACGTTCGCGAGGCACCAACAACCTCGCATAAATCCACCTGCATTAGGTTTAGAAAATGTTATAGTAAGACCTGCGGAATTATAACATATGAATAAAGCTACGTAGGTAACGAAATGAAGTCTTTTTCTTTACATATATTTTATAACAGACCTACACATAAATACCTACGTAGGTACTTAGGTACCTAATGATGATTGTATATAATTAGGTTTTTTGTCATATTATATTATTATTAAGCGAGATTAAGTTATTCTTTATCATCATTATTTGATTTTTGCTATAGTAATGAAGTAAAAATTGTTCAGACGAACTCGTAGAAATGCATTTTTTTTATTATTTCTAAGTCATATAACTCATAAGTAATCGGTCTTAGCTCTTAGCCGTCTAAAGAAAAAAATCTTAGAATGTCATTCTCTAACCGATAAAACCATTTTTTTTTGTTGGCCGGCACTTTTTTTTGGGTACTTTTTGTATGGATGTCCTTTCTAGCTTTAATGTAATCATACTTTAGGTTTAGGTTACTGGGGTCTTTAATTCATTTTCCAAATTTTGCGTCCCGATTTTGACAAGAATTAATTACCTTATAATTTTTCCAAGTATTATTTCGTGTTATATTATTTTTTAGTTTAATATTAAAAAAACATAAATACATAGTTTTTTTTTAATAGTTTTTTTAAGTTTCAGTTCATTTGGCAAGATCGTAACATCTGTGCCGTTTAGCAGATAATTTGGAGTATAACCAGTGACAGTGTGCACTGTTTCATTATAGTTTTTTACACAATTTTGTGCTACAGTTGTCCATGCTACTTTTGTGTCCTTTTCATTTATCTTGCATCTAATTTTATTGACTAACGTTTGATTCAATCTTTCGTTTAAGCCATTTGAGAAAGGCGAGTTTACTGCAGTAAAAAATTATGGAATACTTTTTTCATCTAAAAATTTTTTGAGTTCCTTAGAATTGAGACCTGGGTATTGGTCTGAGAAAATCATGCCGATGTCATCAGTATTTATAGAGTTTTTCACTAGTTTGATGAAATCATTTGCATTTTGCGTACTTGACGTCAAGATATATGCATACCTAGTGAAATGATCTGACAGCAGGTGCAAGTACCTCTTTGTAGACCTCAAACCTCCAAATCCTCCAATGGTATCAATGGAACATATCTCAAAAGGTTTTGTGGCGGGACCCAGGTGGGACATTAATCCATATTTATTTTTTCCTCTTGATTTGTTTTTTATACATACTATACAAATTTCACAGATTCGTTTTATGTTTTTTATCATGTTCTCTGCCGAGTATAATGAGCTGATCATTCTTTGCATTTGTTTCGTTCCTATATGACCTAGGTCTATATGTACTTTTTTAATGAGTTTTATACTGAATTCCTCAGAGAGAATTATTTTTTTCTTTATTCTTTACTTTTTTGTAATAAACATTGTTTTTTGATATTAACTTCTCTTTTCTGCACTGTATCTTTTCATTTTTAACTTGATTTTGTAAAATATCTTCTAGTTTTATTACGTTGACTACTTTTAATTGTTCGTCCAGGTTTTCATTTGGTTCTAAGACTGGGTACCTGCTTAGACAATCAGCTTCAATGTTGTATCTGCCCGGAGAATATTTAATTTGGAAATCATATTGGGATAAATAGTATGTTAGATCTCCTAGTTCTTCATCCGTTCTTGATTTAATATTCATATTCTCCAATGGCTTGTGATCTGAGAAGACAGTAAATTTCTTACCAAGTTCATTAAACAAGTCTTTTGTTTGTACAATTTCCTCTTTGTTGATCCTATCAGTTATAAAATCTGGTAAGCCAGCAGCAATTATATCAATTAGGGTCCCTTGATCAATTGTTTTTCTTACTTCTAGTAAAAGTTTTTCTTTTTTAATCGCATATTCTAATAAAGAACCTGATTGATACTTAAAAGATAAAGCATACCTACTAGTAGTCCAGCCCTTACTAGCATAGGTTTGTAGAAAGTTAGATTTCCATTCTGACCATTCTGATTGTAAACTAAGCTTGATCATCATGGAAGAATACCAATCCGTGCATGACTTCTCCAGAAATAATCTAAAGATTTCAATTTTTTCTTCATCTTTTATTAAATTAAACCTTTCACATTCTGTTTTGAATACTTCCATCCAGTGACATGCACTTGAATTTTTTTCAATCACAAACCTGTCGGCTATCTTTTTTATGCTTAGTTTTTCTTCTTGTGTGACAATTGAGGTTATGGCAATATAGTTTGACTTTCCGTCTATTGTTGGTTTTGCTTGAAATGTGAATTTGCACTTTTCCATTTTTAGACAGTAAATGTCGTTTTATCTTTCTAAGGAGAGGCCTATGTCCAGCAGTGGACTGTTAAAGGCTGTTGATGATGATTATAAGTTGATTTTAAATAGCATTCCTTAAAATTATTTTCAATAAAATTACTTATCGTATTTGGGCATGAAAATTCATACCCCTTATCCCCGTCGACTTCAGTGAGAAGTTCTATAACTTTTTTATTATTAATACAGTTTTTACAAATTGGTACATCCTGTATTGATGCGCCGACGCAAGCAAGTCTTGCTTGGCTATGTCACCAAGTAGCTTTTTTGAGTTGACTTCCACCGTACTGTCCTCATCTTTGTCATCGTCGTCGCTCGGCACAATGATTGATGAATTCCTTTTCGGCATTTCACTCTGGCACTGTAGACAAGTCCATTCCAGGCTGGATGCAGCTTTGACTGCTGCGATTTCTTTGTTTGTCAGACGTGTACACTTGGTTTTCAGGTGGCATAGATTTCGTTATATTTTTTTTGCAATTGTCACATAACTTTTTGACATTTTGGATAGGTTCTTCACAAATATACTGTGCGTGTAAGCAAAGACGTATTGCATTAACCACCGATTGGTGATGACTAATTAAATTAACTGCTGAATTAAACTGAATTAAATTAATATTAATAGAAAATCCATCAGTTTTAACACGATTAAGGAAGTTTGAATTTTGAAAATTTCCTTTGAATTTCATAATTTGACCGACAAAGCTAATAGTTCATAAAACCACAATAAGAAGAAGGAGTATAAAAGGATAGCTTATGAAAGGAAATAACAAATATAGCACTTTTCGCATTAGATCTTTCACATCAAAACAAAAATAATAACATCGTTTAAATCGATATGATGTCTTTCTCAGTTACTTACGACACTCTCATAATTCGACCATGCCTTTTTGTAACAGCTCGTATTAAAGGTAAAAGACAGATAGGGAACATAACAAGCTCGACTAACGAACATTACCACATTCATCCACTACAGCAATATAATCCATGCGTGAAATACTCGCCTTTGCGGCGGGCTTCGAAGTAGTACCCCAGCAGAGGCCCTTTGCCCGAGGCGGCGTTGGCCCAGCGCAGGTGCAGCGCGGCGGGCTCGGGCGCGAGGAGCAGATCGCGCGGCGCCTGCGGGCTGCCGGGCTGCGGGCCCGTGCGCACGCGCGCCGCCCCCGCCGCACCCGCGCCGCCGCCCTCTGTCACGGCACGCGCACTGAACCGGTACTCCACCTCCTCCTCCAGTCCACCCACCGCCAGCCGCGTCTCCGTTACCTTCTGCTTCACTTGCTTGCTGAAACCTGCGCCGATGTTTGATTATTTTAGTTATCTGCTTATACCTAAGTGCCTTCTAAAATATATATAATAGGTGGCGCCACTGGTTCTTACTTCATTGTCATCAAAATTATATTACATTATATTTACGGCAAACCTCTAATCAAAATAATGCCTAAAACGGTACGCACACCACTCCCGTCAGCTAAACTACAAATCAAAAGTACTACAAGTCTATAAATTTCAATTTCACTGTTCCACGAGAGGGTCCTTTGGTTGGAATGGTTTTAGAATTATTTTAATAATAAGCCTATATCAAACAAATATCGCGAATAAACAGAATCTAAAACTCCAAATTCCATTTTATTCTGATACAAACAATTGTTACACACACTGTTACAGTCAGCTTCAATTCTTGCACTGCTCCCTTTGCTATCTAAATTACGTTTTAACTGTATAACTATTTCTTTTCGTTGTATGTGTACTGACATACACTTTAATTACATTTGCGACGTGCGGAGATATGCCAATCCCTAAAAATTAAAAGTGGTTACTTCTGATTAAAAAATATATATAATTCCATGAACTAACTGATATACAAAATGAAATTGACAGTTTTGATGTTGCGGATTCAGTCCTCTGTGACGCAGAAGAGCTTAAATCTCGTGCTCGCCCAAGACACTTCTAAGAAGTGATTGAAAATATTTGAGGAAAATATCAGAAGCGTTAATCGGAACATAACTGAATTGCTACTACTTCTTGTAAGAATGGGTGCAAATTGGGACTGTATGATCTTGAAGGAATGCTGGCTGCCGTGTACACGTGATAGGTTGCCTACTATAGAGAGCTATAATTAGTTTGCCACTATCAATAATTTCACACGAAATGAAGGGCTTGTTGTTTATATCAGACGTGACTTCTTGATGATAGTTGACGAAGCAGAGTTAACAAATTCCAATTGTGTAGTCATAAAACCAAATAAGAACACAGTAGTGCTTGCAATTTATCGCCCACCTGGTTTTAAGGATCTAAGCAATTTTCTTAAGTCGCTGAATAATTTATTGTCTAGATATCTGTGCAAAATGTGTTCATAACGGGTGACATTAACATTGATATTTGTGGTGACAGTACTGACTCCAACTTTCCAATTTACTTGATGGTACATGGTATTTTAATAAAATACAGTAAAATATTATATATTTTAATAAAATACCATGTACCATCAAGTAAATTTCCGATTACTCCCGACAACTACCGAACTAACTTCAGTAGCCTGCGGCTGGAGGCGGGGAAATAAAATAAATGGGTGTGTGCGTTTGCGAACTGTGTACGGACACCAAAATTACTACACACATGCGAACAAATGTCCTGCAGGACGCGACGGCATGAGTTGGTTTGTTAGGTACAGCGCCGCTTGCTTGTCGGTAAACGCCTGGCAAAACATAATGTTTGTGTGCTTGCAAATAGATGCTATTTTTAATATTTAGTTTATTAATTTATTTACTATTAATTAAAGTCATCTAAAACGTACGAACGTTTTATTAAAATGTCTGTAAATAGCAAGTAAAGCACTGCATTTCTGCCTACAAGGAGCGCACGCCCCTGTATTCTATCAGCCCATACTTTTATCACCCATGATAAAACGTGCCTAGATCATTTGACGCTTAAGACCGACTTGGAAGCACGTTGTCTTGTAGTCCAAACAACACTCACGGATCATTATAGCACTGTACTTTACATGGCTACTGCTCAAACACCTCTACCGAGAAGGACCGTTGACCATGCTTTGGTGAATAAGGTACTTAATCAACGGAATTTGAACAAGTTGTTTGCGATTGATAATCCGAATGAGGCTACGGATTTATGTCTAAGTACAATCCGCTCTTTAATTGCAAACAATACTCAAATAATTAAGACATCGAAGAGAAAAGTATATTAAAACCGTGGATGACGCCGGGTATCCTAGTGTCTCAAAAATAGGGATAATTTATTCAAAAAACTAAAAAAGGAACCAGCTAATGTAACGTACAAAAGGTTCGAAATTTCTGTTCAAATATTCTAAAAAAACCTAAAAAGCACTATGAACAACAGAAACTACGTCATAATGCCGGTATAAATAACTTACACGACGAAGGCAAAGGGGACCCCTACAGAATTAATCAGTCCCAGTAGTCCTATACAGTCAATAAACAATGTTTGCAAATATTGGAAGAACTTTGGCAGAGAAAATTAATACTAACAGCAAGGATGGCACACGAACGGTGGCAGCGTGTCTATATTATATACCCACAGATCACGACGAAGTCAAATCACTTATCATGAATTTAAAAAGTTACATTACAGATGGAGACAGAGGCTTTGTTAACAATTACAGAGCCATATCAATCTTCCCGACATTATCAAAAATCCTAGAACGTATTTTAAATAACATTTTAATTAAATATTTGGAGGATAGGGATCTGTTGGCGCTAGCGCAGTATGGTTTAAGGTCAAATAGATCTACTGCAGATGCTGGTTATGAGTTAACTGATTTTGTTGTATTGAATATGAAGGAAGAAAACAATAGCAATATTTTTAGATCTCGCTAAGGCTTTTGTCACAGTCTCTGTACCAATACTTTAAAAAAATAATTGGTAAATCTAGGAATAAGGGGTACTCAGTTGAGTATTTTAGAGGACTATTCAAAAAACAAATCTCAGTCTCAAACACCATAAAAAATATCGACCGAATTGAGCAAGAGCCGGTGTCTACGAGTTAGCTGCGAAGTTAACCGAACGACGCACGACACTTTACGAACACGACGTCGTTCCGGTGCGGCCGTAAGTTTCGGCCAATTTTGGCCGTAACGTAAACTCGAACCAAATCAATTTTTTTTGGCAGAAACTGGCCGAAACTGAACCTTCGGTCTGGCACTAAAAAAAAAACACTACAAGTGGCGTCTGAGACAAACAAATTTAGGAACATCTTTTTTTTTTTTTTTTTTTTTTTAAATCTGTTGTTGATTAGGGGTTTTTGTCTATGTGGACATGTCAACCCCATTGTATCTTCTACTTTACAATTTACGCGTCACTATGAAAACATTGAACCGCTCATACACAGCTGTTTTGCATTCTCAGATATTGGTAGTGATAGAATAGTCTGCGCAATTCCTACATCAATCTGGTTTAGATTCAATGTTTCCATCAGTGCTTTTCTTTCTCTTCGGTTCTTGACACATTCCATTAGCACGTGTTGTACATCCTCTTCCACTCCACATAAGTTGCAATACGGAGAATTTTTCTTTTTCATTAGGTATGCAAATTTATTAGATGGAATGTGTCCAGATCGAAGTCTTAATAACATTTTTATATGGTTCCTATTAATGTTGCATCCTATAAACCATGGTATACAAAACGGCTCAGATTGTAAAGTGCTGTACCAAATTCCTTTCGTTTCAGATTTTTCCTTAAAGTGTACCTTCCATCTATTATAATTTAGTATTTTAAATTTATGTAGTACTTCCGAATAATCGGGTAGAATATTAAATTCAACTCCCTGTGAGCAACCCTTTTTAGCCATTCTGTCCGCTTCTTCGTTACCATGTAATCCACTGTGAGCCGGAACCCATTGCAACCTCAGAGTCCTATCCTCTTCCTGTAATTGTAATATTTTTTTCAGGATTATAAAGGCTATCGAAACACCTCTGCTATCAGAGGCGCATCGAGCCACGTGTTGCAATGCACTTTTGCTGTCCGTTAATATAACCGCGTAGTTCCAGCGTTTATCAATCACATAAGATAGGGCCTCAGAGATTGCAATGAGCTCCGCTGTCATTATAGATACATTAGTTTTAATATTATAACATACACTATGTTTTGCAGTGGCAACATAAAAGGCTGCTCCAAGGGAGCTGTCTTTCTTAGAGCCATCTGTATATATCATATGCCATCCCGGGTATTTTCCATTAATCTCGTTACATACTTTCCATTTAATAGAATATCCTTCATATTCATGTTTACTTTTAGTCACACAATCTAAATTTACATTAATAAAATCTCTTGTATTTATGTATGTTGTCCACTTATTTAGTTTAAATCTAGGTAAAGGTGCTGTACAGTGAACTTCACAGAGTTTGGTTTCATTATATGCTGAAGCTAGTAAGGGTTTTTTTTTGTTTTGCCAGTACCGACAAAGACATAAATAGTTCAATTTAGATATCTGTTCTATAGTTACATTATGAGCAAGTGATTGACTTTTTAAGCAGTATTTATATGCGAGGTATCGTCTTCTTAAAAAAAGAGGTGGTAAAGCAAGTTCACTTTCCATCACGTGAATGGGAGTGCTTTTAATAAATCCACCAATTATACGCAGTGATTGGTTTTGTATTTTATCTAATTTAGATATTTGTGTTTTAGAACTGTTGTCATATAAAAAGCTAGCGTAATCAATGCGACTTCGAATTAAGGATATGTATAATCTCCTCACATGTGTCTGATGTACACCCCACGTAGGGCCAACTAAAACTTTTAACAAGTTTAACAATTTGGACGACTTTTGAACTATTTCATTTATGTGTTTATTCCAATTGAGACATTGGTCTAACCACATACCTAAGTATTTTATGCATGGGGACTTCGACAAATTATAACCGTTAACAGTAATACTGGGAATTATTCTTCTGTGCCCTCTACTAAACACACAATACTTCGATTTACTTATAGATATATTAAGCCCTATCTCATCTAATAATAAAATTAATATTTTTAATGCTTTTTCTATATCTACTTTGCATTGATTCAGATTTTTATTGCTCCCAAAAATAACAAAGTCATCAGCATATTGCGATATCATGACATTTTTAATTAATCTACATATCTTATATGTTACTATGTTAAATAATAAAGGCGAGATAGCGTCACCCTGAGATAGCCCATTAGATGCCCATCTCGTAATTATCCGCTGACCATCATCGTTTTTAACTGTTAAATGTCTCTCACTCAGGAAATTCCAGAAATAATTACAAATTTTAGCGCCTACTTTAATTTCGTCCAAAAATCTAATTAACGCATTGACCGAAACATTATTATAGGCACTTTCTATATCTAGGGCAACGGCCACGGTAGGTTTGTTCTCAGAGTAACCTAATTGTATCTGTGAAATTAAACGAGATAGACTATCTATACACGACTGCGACTTTCTAAAGCCCACTGTACATTCTGATATAATTTTGTTTCTTTCAATATACCACTCCAGTCGCTTACCCAACATAGCGTGAAATATTTTACACATACAGGATATAAGTGATAACGGGCGTAACTTTAATTCAGTATTTGGATTATTTTGTTTTTGTATTGTTATAATTTTGATATCCCGCCATTGAACAGGAATATAGCCAGAGAAAAAAATTAGGTTATATATTTTTAATATAAATGTTTTAGCTTTATATGGTAAGTTGTAAATCATTGAGTAAGCAATGTTGTCATCGCCGGGAGTAGTATCTTTTGTTTTTTGGCAATGGTCAAATTCCTGCATAGTAAACATTATTTCTATTAAGTGATTTGTTGACATTACTACCGGCGCTTTACTAAGAACTGAATCAGGAGTAAGTGAACATAAAACTTCGACCAGTTTTTCAGACGGCACGTAGGGTTTCGATTTCCTGTAACCTTTTAACCATCGCATTCTATTCCACAGGTCAGATACCGATGTGCCATTGTCAACAGAGGTACAGAATTTTTCCCAGTTTTGACTACGAGCTTTTGCAATAGCTCTTGAACATTTTTTGGATTGATTCTCAAATAGTGTAAGATTATCGGGGGTGGGATTTCTTCTAAAATTCCCTAATGCTTTTCTACGGTAAGCTACTTCTAACGAAAGGTCAGGGCTCCAGTATGGTTTTGGTTTAAATTTGTTAGTTGGATTGGTACATATTTTAAACAAGGGTATACTACTATCTGCTGCTTTGTTAAGTTCTTGTATAAAGTAATCGTATTTGTCTTGTATATATTGGGGATCATAATTTGTGTGAATTTCGTTATGTCTAAACGAGTCGTTAAGACTATTTCTGTACTTACTCCAGTCAGCTATTTTAAAATTACGTTTTATTATGTGTTTTATTATGTTCTGTTGAAAATGCATAGATATTTTAATGAGTAAATGGTCGCTCCCGAGATTCTCTTGAAGAGTCACCCATGAGAATATTGTAGCTATATTAGCCGACGCAAGGGAAATATCCGGCGATGTTTGTCTTAATATCCCTTCAACTAGTTTAACTCTCGTAGCAGCTCCGTTGTTGAGCGTCATCATCCCATGTTCTAAAGCCGCGTCCCACACCTGTGTCCCTCGAGCGTCCGTTTTATAAGACCAATTTGTGTGGTGGCCATTAAAGTCGCCAGCCACTAACGAGTTATGTTTAAATTTTTCAAATATTTCCTCCCAATCAGATGTGTGTGTTTGTTTTGATGATGGACAATATATAGATACAATGTTTTGTAAATTGTTGCAATTTGTCAATTTAACATGTAGTATTTCTATGTCAGTATTACGGATATTAATAGAACATGTATATGCTTTAATAGATTTATGGATTATGATTGCAACCCCACCATACCCATCTATTCTATCATGCCTGAACACATTGTATGAGTTAATGTTAATGACTTGTTCTCCATTCAACCAAGTCTCGCTGATAATGGCTATATGTATTTTTTCTTTAATTAGTAAATCACCTAAATTTAATAACTTTGGTTTCAAACTCTGTGCGTTCCACTGTAGTATATTAATAACCAACTTTCTAGGCAATACACTATCCATTGAAAATTGAAAATAAATTTTGTAACATACCTTCATTCGTGAATAAACTACTTATAATTTGTTTTACCTCATTGCATATTGTTTTAAAACACATTAAAAAATTTTCTTCTAAACTATTTGCTGACAAAACTATGTTTTTCACTTTCAAAAACAATTTAATCCAATCATAGTAGTTATCTCCTTTTCTATCCTGTTTTACTTTTCTGTAGTTGTTATCTTGAAGTTCTTCACTCGATGTCTCCCATTGATCCTCTAGGAAACTTGTACTCTTAGTTTGGCTGTCTGTATTTATAGTTTTTCTTTTTTGTGAACCATTACTACCCCAGTTACTTTGTTTTACTTGTTCCTCAATATTAGATATTTTCTTCGCTCGTTTTGAGTTCTTCGCCACTTTGCTGCTGTATGTCTCACCATTCTCGATGACTGTACATGATGACGTATTCTGATCGTTATTAATTATGTTACAATTTTCTACTTGACTCCTCCGCTTTTCCAGTTTGTTTGCAGTATATATTTGTAGCGCTTTCCGGTATGTAATGTTGTTCTTGGCCATAATCTTTCGAATGTCTTTTTCTCTTAAATATAATGGACATTGCTTGTCTAAAACAAAGTGCTCCCCTCCACAATTTAGACATTTTTATTCATTTATATCACAATTGTCATGATCACCTCTGCATTTCGGGCATTTTTTTTTTTTTAAAGGACAGTACTTTATATAATGTCCGAACTGCCAACATCCTGTACATTGAGTGACAGGGAACACAAATGCTTCAACTCGGAATCGACACCCAAATGCGTGCACATATTGTGGTAAGGACGATCCTTCAAAACATACTCTCACCGATTCACTATCTACCCAGTTATGAGTTGGGGAAATTCTTTTTAACCTTTTTACTGATAATATTTTCGTATTAGACTCCAAAATATCAAAAATATCTTTTTCATCTAAATCTACATCAACACCCTTGATGATACCAAACGACATTATGGATTCATTTGTTAAGTAACGTCTGTATCCCATTTCATCGAATTTTTTACATTTCAATAGTGACTCAGCATCCTCCTTTGTGTCAAATCGAATAATTACTCTAAATGGACTTTTATATTTTAATCTTAATATGTTTTTAATATTTTCGTCACGTAGTAATCTTGCAAATGCCATTTGTTTTGGCAAAGCATCGGCCGATGATACACATACTTCCCTGTATTTAAATTCTTCAACTTGTTTTTCATCTACCCGCATTGTGTCATTATTTTCCTGTGACATCTGTTGTTGTCTTGATATTTCTTTGGAATTGCTTCGGATTAAACGTTTAGGCTTCCTTCTTGTAACAGTTATAAACTCTTCATCATTACTCTCTTCTTCTCTCTCCTTTCTCTTCTCAGTATTCTTTCTCGAAACTTCAACATTTCTCATTTCAGTATCCATCTCCTTTAACTCTTGTTTACACTGTCTTATTATTTCTGAATCACTATTTGACATTAGCTCTTCGTCATCACTCTCTTCAACCATTATTATTTTTATATGTACTCGCGGGTAGTATAATAAACACAGTTACTACAAGGCTGTTGAGGCAACGCGTACGCACGACACAACAGACCGCGCAAGACTGTGAGGAACATCTTTGTAGAAAAACTGTCCGATTTAGAACTATACTTTACTTTTGATATAACTATAAGATTGAGCTTTTCTTGCTTAAGTACTTTTGAGATCTAATAAAAGAAATAAAGTAAGTTTTACCAAGTCACTTACGTTCGTCTTGTTCTATTGTCTCATAGGTTACAAGATACGACTGAATGAGGCCGTTGCGTCGGTAGGGTGGCTGCCATGTTACAACGAGGCTATTCATCGTAATGTCTGTGAAAGTTATGTTCCGCGGAGCCGATGGTAGACCTTGAAGGGTACGAACTAGTACCGCGGTGGATCTAGGACCATCGCCAGCCGCATTGAATGCTAAAACCTGAAAGATAATAAGACAGCCAGGAATATCATAGAGCACATGACAATGATTATTGTATGGTAATACGAGGATGCGTTTTTAATTTCGCGGAATGAGAGGGTTGGATGATGGGTTGATGGGTGATGGGTTGGGGCCAAAAAATCGAATATCGTGCCGTTATAAAGTTCCTTACCAAGCAAGGAAAATCAGTTGCGACCATAATGAATGAGATGTCATTGGTTTACGGCGACTCTTGTCCAGGAAAAACCATGGTGTACAAATGGCACAGTTTATCTGAACAAGGAAGGGAATCCCTTGAAGACGACCCGAGGCCGGGCAGGAGCATCGAGGTGATCACGCCAGAACTTATCCAAAAAGTCGAAAAAATTGTACTCGACGATGCTCGACTAAAGAAGAAACAACTCGCAGAAATGCTTGGAGTATCTGATACAATCATTTTTAGAATTCTGCACGATAATTTTGGCATGACAAAGGTCCGTGCAAGATGGGTGCCGAGAATGCTCACGCCGACGCAAAAACAACAGCGCGTAGAGTGTTCACGTGCATTTTTAGACCTTTGTAATGAAGACAAGGATGCTGTATTGAGTAGAATTGTTACTGGAGACGAAACTTGGGTTCATTATTATGAACCTGAGTCGAAACAAGACTCCATGCAGTGGCATAAAAAGGGCACAGCACCTCCCAAGAAGTTTAAGGTGTCACAGTCAGCTGGGAAACTCATGGCAACGGTCTTTTGGGACTCAGAAGGAATATTATTGATCGATTATAAAGATAAAGGTGTTTCTATAACCGGAGAATACTACGCTTCAATATTAGAGCGACTCAAAGAAGCCATTAAAGAGAAAAGACGGGGAAAATTGACAAAAGGTGTGTTGCTTTTGCACGACAACGCGCCCGTCCACAAGAGCCGCGTTGCGTCGGCTGCCCTGCATAAGGTGGGCTTCGTAATTTTGAATCACCCACCCTACAGCCCAGACCGGGCCCCCAGCGATTATTACCTGTTTCTAAAAATGAAAAAAGAGCTGCGGGGTAAAAAATTTACCAACGATGATGAACTCAAGGAGGGAGTTTCGGCGTATTTTGAAGACAAAGAGAAAACATTTTTTTATGAGGGTATAAACAAATTAATTGAAAGATCTGAAAAATGTATCCGTCTTGCAGGTGAATATATTGAAAAGGAATAATAATTTGGTTTTTTTCTTTCCACCCCTTATCACCCATTCCGCGAACATAAAAACGCTCCCTCGTATGTATTGCATAATACCTGAATGCGATACTGTGTATATTTGTCAAGGAAAACCAGGGAATGTGCGATAGCTGTTGCTGGTACAACTTCAATCTCCTCCTCGATACGACGACCAGGTTCGGGTTCCTCAGGCGAATCCGTTACTAGATAAAAAATCTGTAATAGGAGTTATTTGAAGTTGTTAACACAAAACTTATAAGACAGTAATACCGACATGGGGGAACCATATGACGCGCATACGATTTATTCTGTTTTTTTTTTATAAGTCCTTTCAAGGTAAATTATTGTACTGCTTACAATATTTTATCAAGAAGCAAAGCAGAAAGGAGCAGATTAAGTAAGGTCGTAATTATATTGATGTTTATTGCAAGCTACTGTCACGCAATCTGTCCGTCCACCTTTCATGAATATAAAAACGTTGAGATACAATTTGTATCATCGTCATAATCAACAGCTTTTAGTAGTCCACTGCTGGACATAGAGCCTAGGCCTCGCCTTAGAAAGGAGGTTTTGGCCTACAATACCACGCAGGTCAGACGGGTTGGTATAATTTGTTTCAAGTTCGGGTCTGATATAAGGCGCTTCTCTCGAAGCTTCCTTCCTTTGGGCTTCCCGAGATTGTGTTATTGGTTCACCAGCTTCCTTGCGGACAGAAGCATTAAGGTCGTTGTCGACGGTGTCCCACAAGGCTGTGTGCTATCACCCACACTGTTTCTCCTGCATATCAATGACATGTTGCAAACTAGTAGCATCCATTGCTATGCAGATGATAGCACAGGAGATGCCCTTTATACCGGCCACCCCAATATTTCTCGGGAAAAGTCATCAAGAGTCGAAACAAACTTGTGTCTGAAATTGAAACTTCCTTAGCGGAGGTTTCAGATTGGGGCCGACTAAATCTAGTCCAGTTTAACCCAAAAAAGATACCATTTGTCGTATCACATCAGTTTGAGAGCACCTCCCTAACTGCCTCAGCCAGCATCGGAATCCTAGGCATCGACATATCGAGCGAAGTCCAGTTTCGGGGTCACTTAGAGGGTAAGGTCAAATTGGCCTCAAAGAAGCTCGGTGTGCTGAACAGATCGAGGCAGTATTTAACTCCGATCCACCGCCTTCAGCTCTATAAAGCGCAAGTCCGGCCGCATATGGAATACTGTTCTCATCTCTATGCAGGGGTACCTCAGTACCAGATTCTCCCTCTGGACCGCATCCAACAAAGTGCGACTGGAATCGTCGATAGCCCAAACATCTCCGATCGGCTCCATCCCTTGGCGTTACGTAGAGATGTGGCTTCACTCTGCATTCAATATCGCATGTATCATGGAGAGTGCTCCGAGGAATTTTTCGGACTAATACCAGCCTGCAAATTTCCGCCATCGTTCCACACGGCAAAATTTTCATCCTCATCACCTGGATAGTTGGCGCTCCACTACTGTGCGCTTTTCGAGACACTTTTTGCCCTGCACAACCAATCTGTGGAACGGGTTATCGTCTGCGGTATTTCCGGACTAATACGACCTTCAAACCTTCAAGAAAAGAGCGTACTCCTTCCTAAAAGGCCGGCAACGCGTTTGTGACTCCTGAGTTGCAGACGTTCATGGGCGGCGATGGTCACTTTCCATCAGGTGACCTAACATAAAAAAAAAAGCAGTGCTTTCTTTGCAGTGCTCTTGTCGGCCCTTAATTTGTAATGTAGGGATTCCCCCTACTTTCATTTGAGTTTTACTACGTATTACACATAATACACCAAACATTAACACATAGATTATATATTATTATTTGTTTACTATATTTACACTTATTCTACACCTAAAATATTATTTACAAATATATACATCATTAATACACACGTTTTTAATATAAGTACATCATAAATAAATATTACATTTCACAGCGATACATATCGGTTTGTCGATAAATTCTATCGACACATCCCTTTCACTATGCTATCTAAATTTATAGCTAGATGAGATACGCGCCGGCAACCGCTGCGCGTGCGCCGTCTCGAACAGTCTGAATTCCTTACCGTTGTAGACAGCACGCTTGCTTACCTAAGCCCTTCGTACCGCCTAAATATTGTGAAAGTAGTGCCTATATATTATTTATATACTGCTTAAATATCTAGTGATCTCTTGTGCTATTCTTGAACTAGCTATCTTCCTATTTGAACTGCTAATTGTGCTGTGCTTGTGCCTGTATCTTCTACCTACTGTACCTTCTGTTTATTTCTCGTGTGCTGGACAAATACATTGTGATAACAGTGAGTTGAACTTTTTTATTTACTCCTAATACACGAGACAAGTAGTTACTACCCTAGTACCTACAGGTACATAATATAATACTTTTTTTTTATATTTTCCATACTTTGGAAAAATATTTTAAAAAATCCAGCGTTCATTCCGGTCGATGAGTTGAATATGAACAATGTTACCTTATATCCAAGCAAGTCCCCGTTCTGTTGCTGCGTGGTGGGCGGGGTCCAGGCGAGCGTGACCTCGGTGGGCGAGAGCGCGCGCGCGCGCACGTCCCGGGGCGAGGCGGTAGGCACGGCCTCGCCCACCCACACCACGGCCGGCGTGCCGCCCGGGCCCGCGCCCTGCGAGTTCACGGCGCACACGCTGATTTCGTAGTTGCGGTCCAGCGCCAAATCCGTCAGCACCACCTCCTCGCTCTTGCATAAAAATCAAACACATATGCACGTTTCATTAAATCCAACGTAAAAGCAGTTTGCTCTGATTTTTGGTTACTCTCACATCAAATCAAATTGTTTCCATTTTACCACTAAAATATTGGTGGTTGTAATCGTGTATTGGTCGATCGTAGTTTTAATTTAAAAAAAATTACACTGCAAAATAAGCCAATTTGTTTATGTAAAACACATTCCTTAAAGAAAAGCAAATAACCAGTTTTTTTTTCTCGTATGTTTACGCCTCTTTATAAGACGATGTACACATTGTACGACATAATATATACAACATTTATAGAAATGTCATTTGTACCTTGATGCCCATCACGTCCTGTTTCATGGTTTGTTGGAGTGCAGTGGGAAAATCAGTGAGTGGCTGGTATCGAACGCGATAGCCACCGGTACGCGTATCGCCGCTCCAATGTTGTTCGCCGAGAGGTGTCCACTGAACCCGCACACTACTCGGAGTTATTGGAACCACATGTAAGTTCTCCACAGCTTTACTGGGAGCTTTGGAAGAGAGAATAATATATAAGTGATTAGAATAATCGACAAAATAATAAGGTATTCTAGTCTGAAAAAAGGGCATGGTATGCTCAACCAATTCGGTGCTTTCTTCTTCATCCAGGTAACTAACGCCTTTTTTTAAGTTAACAATAGGTACAAATAATGCCAGTTACATTAAAAGAGTTTCCTAAAGAACAATTAATAAGCAGCTAGTAATTTGAATATATTATCAAATTTAATCTTATAACACTGGGGTTCTTATAATAACTCTATACTTTTTGTTTTATTGGTCCTCTTCATGCTTTTATATGAGTAAGACATATTCTAATTTAAGTTCACTCTGTACAGTTAAAACATTTTAAACATACCGGCTGGTAATGTTCGTACTGTTTCAGTTGCATTACTGTATCGACTAGGGCCAATGTCATTTGTCGCTCTTATTCTGAACTGATATGCTGTATAAGGTTTTAGCCCTTCTGCGGTGTATGATGTCACAAAAGGATCAACACGTTCCGGGATAGTTTGCCATGTTCCCCCCTCTTCTTTTTGTTGCACAGTGTAGTATCTGAAAAAGAAAAAAAAAACAAATTTAGACGGAGCTGTAACAAAAGTTTGCCACTTGTTCTTGATCTACGAGGCAGATAGAAAAATCATATCGCTCGCCACTGTTAGTTTTAAGTTATGTACAAATTTAAAAATTAAAATCTATCTATATATATAAAAGAAAGTCGTGTTAGTTACACTATTTATAACTCAAGAACGGCTTTACCGATATGGCTGAAAATTGGTGAGGAGGTAGCTTAGAGCCAGGAGACGGACATAGGATACTATTTATTCCGAAAAAAAAAAAAAAAAAAAGTTTGCACGAACTTTGCTTTACTCGGAGATGCCACGTTATTATACTTGGAATGCTTCATCGAAGAATTTTCAAAGACGGAAGATTTTTTCTAAGAAAAAAATTAACTTACTAAATTCGAAAATCGGCTTATTTGTTGCCTTTAAGGCGGAACAGAGTTCGCCGGGTCAGCTAGTAACAGTATATATAACACAATATATACCTGAGTGGTGCATATCCATCGTCGCCAGGTGTCCAAGAGAATGTAATATGGTGCGGTTGCAACAATGAGCGAGAGACGTTAGGGCGAGGTGGTGGTGCGGGTGCAGCGCGGTTTGCAGTCGTCAGTACCAACACCCGCGCAGTCGCACCCCACCCCAAACGTGTTTGCGCTCGCACGCTAAACTGGTAGTAATGTTCCGAAGATAATTCTGTTGCTCTGTTGAAAACAATATAAAAAACATTGATACATAAATGAATCCCTACAAAGATTAATTACTAACTTCTTATTTAAAGACTGGACTTCTTATTTAACTTTATTTTTATTATTATTCATTTGCCACGGGTTGAGGACTTGTCTAGTGGTAAAAGGGCAGACCAGTCCTAAGGTAAATTTTATTGATGATACTGTGCAGTGACGTTTAAGAAACATATGAGGCAGTAACATACGTTTGCGATTTTGGCATTTGCTCGTCATATCATTCTAATGCAAACACTTACCTAAATGTGCGACCCGAAGGCGGGAATTCTCGAGAAAATACATGCTGGGTACTACTATTGAGGTGATAGGTAACTTTATACGCCAAAATTTCTCCATTAGGGTCTTCTGGCACGTTCCAAATGATACGCGCCATAGTAAACGTGACGTCGGGAAACGAGACATTAGACGGTGGACCTGGAGCTGAACAACAAGTAATTTTTTTAATAAAATATGCAATATAATTATATTATAGTGTATAATATATTAAATTAAATTATTTGAGTATACAGAAGACCACGTTTCTTATACTTGTAGTATAGGAACCTGGTCTTCTTGGCTCATTGTTTACATTTCCTAATCTATAACGTAATATAATATAGAACATTTGTACGCAATTTCCTTTTCCCCTCAAGTTATATTTTTTTCATTTCCTAAAGACTCCTACTCTGTGAATGGGACAAAGTTATAATAAATTGGCAAAATGTAGATTTTGAACACGGCTCGGCCTACCCCTTTGAGCATACAGGTGTGAGTGTATCTATTTCTATAAAGCACGTAAGATAGGCATTATGTCTAAGTTTAGGAAGATGAAAATCTGCTAGTTTTTATTGCTTGGTTGTTTACGATCAAAAAATCTGCAGATACAACTTTTTGAAATTTGTGTTCCTAAGGTAATCTTACATTATTATCTGAAAGAGAAATTTCGAAATTCAGTTTCCAAAACCTATAATTACTTATATTATTCTGTTTTATAAGTGAAATTGTACCTTGATAATTAATTACGTAGTTTAAATAAAGACTATATTTTTTATGATTTAATTTCAAATGTGAGGTTCACAGATTTTACCTTTTACTTGTAGTATGAGACGATGCTACTTGCCAAATTTTATAGGTTTAGGTCAACGGAAATACCCTATTAATTTTGATTCCCTTGAGAGTTTTGGAATAGCCGTTTTTTCCCATAAACGGCGTACCTTTTCTAAGTAAGTTACGTTATGGAGTTTGATTATTTTACAGCTTCAAGGGACTGTTGACCTGAGTATATGGTTTAATTTAAACTCAATACCTCATCCGTTCCCTAGGGAACGCGTAAAGGTAATCGATCAAGGGTCTTGACATACAGACAGACGGACAACAAAATGATCTTATAAGGGTTCCGTTTTTTCCCTTTGAGGTATGGAACCCTAAAATAGCGGCAGTCATAGTATAATAAAGAAAGGAATGTACTCACTATCATCAAAAGTTCTCACTGTCACTGGTGGATCACTCAAGGCTCCATCCCCTAATCTCGTGTAACCCAACACTTGTATTTGATATACGACATATTTCCTCAGTTCTGTCAATGTTATTGTGTGTGTTTGATTGGATGGCACCTCTTGACATTCCACCTTTTTTTGTTCTGGCCGTGGTGGAGGCACTACAGCTGCGTAGCACACTTTGTATCCTTCGATTAGACCGTTCTGATCCGAAGAGGGTATTTCACCCCAAAGTACCACTATTGTAGTAGAGGATGTGGCGTTGGCCGATACCCCCATAGGGCCCCGTGATGGTACTGTGAAATATAAAATAGAGCAAGAATACCTGAACTGAAGGATTGGAACGTATATTAGTCATTAGGTATTAAGAAAATGAGGGACGTCATTTATTTACCTGCTTCTCTTGTTCTTTCCATAGATATAGGACTAGCAGCTGAAGTTCCCACTTCATTTAAAGCAGTCATACGTATCTCATATACCGACCATTCTTCTAAGTTAGAAAGTATATGCGAATTTGCTGTATGATCTTCTATAATACTATGTAATGTATCGTTACTACCGCTTCTTGTGTAGGTTATGTTATATCCTTTTGGATTACCATACCATTCACTTTGCTGTAAAGGCTGTAAACGCGTTTATATATATAATTATGGATACACTTAAGGACGTAATATATATCGTAATTTAATGAATATATATGAAATCAACGGTTATTATCCAAGTATCTTCCTGGTATCTTACCCAAGGCAGTTAATTTCGATAGCATTTTTTGTTATTTTTAGTTGATATTATCATTTATGTTACATTTTAATATCTGTTCAAAAAAAAAACAACATGGCTTGTTTTTTTTTGAACAGATATTAAACTAATAAATAATAAATTTACACTTTTATAGGTAGAAGATTTTTTTCTAAAATACCCCGTACATAAAAAACCTTTTTTGAAATCAGTTAAAAATATTGTTTTTCTATCTTTGCTTAAAATTGAATTTGATGGACACTAAAACATTTTATTTATTTATTATGTAATACTATTACAACGTCCAAAATACAACAGTACGGTAATAGTTGCAGTAGTCGAAACTGTGTCGCAACTATTAACGCCCGCTTCGAAATTTGTGTAAACATTACATTGTAATATTCGTTTGTTACAATACATTTTAAAGTATAAAAATAAGGAGAAATATTGAAAATTACAAGAACTAAAAAAATGAAAAGACTGTAAACAGCAGCAAAACTTCTAAGCTAAAAAAATATATATAAAAAGGATGATAATAATAGGACATTTGGTCACTCGTGTGTGTGTGTGTGTGTGTATGAGTGTGTGTAAATCTGAGTGAGTGTATGTGCTTTTATGCGTGTTTCAACATACAACCTTTATGATGCTATCAGTATCCTCAAAATACAAGGCATAGAGCCAGTCAGTCACCCTAACCTTACATTTTTTTATGTTAAAGGATTTATTACACTGGTAAAGTCTGGGACTAATGTAGAAGTACTGTTGGCCAGCTGCAGCACTTATTGCAGTTGAATCTTTTTGAGCTTCGTGCCTTTGTAATGAATTCGGCTTAAAATTGGTACAGTTGTATGCTTTCGTAATATGACCCTACTATACGTAAATTTCTTAATTGAAAGCACTCTGCAATGTGTGTAAAGCTCTGATGTGGAACATTTTATGGGCTTATTAAGCATTATTTTTAGAACACAGCTCTGCGCTCTCACCATTCGCAACCAACAAGTTTTTCAGTTTCCACCCCACGCTGCAAAGCAATAAGTTACGACTGACTGTGTTAGAACATAATAGACAGTTTTATTGGTATTTAGGTATGCTACTACTCTCAACTTCTTAAAAACGTACATAAGTTTTCTTGTACGAGTTATTATACTATCAACTTAAATACACCATGTTAATCTGCTATCATTTAGATATTTTATATTATTATTTGTGCAGGTAAGTATCTTACAGTTACAATTTGTATTGCCAGTGTCTTCGCAGGAATGACCAAGATTACAACAAGACTCTGGTGGTTGGGTTGCTGTACTAAGAGAAAATGTAAGATACATGGATTTATCCAAGTTGAGAGTAAGGCGATTTTGCTCTAACCAGTAAGTTTCTGCACTCAAAGCCTTCTTTAAAGAAAGTTTTTTTCACTTCATTCCAAGTGCCATCAGTACAAGGAGCACTGTGTCATCTGCGTAGCCAAACACCTTACAATTATTAATGTTAAATAAGCAGAGCTCATTTACATAAACAAGGAATAGTGTCGGCCCAAGGACACTGCCTTGAGGGACGCCATAATCCAAAGCAACTTTATCACTAATAACTTCATTAATGATGACACTTTGTGTGCGGTTGCTAAGAAAGTTTTTAGATGAATTCGAGGCGGAACCGCGCACCCCTTTGTCTTCCAGTTTCTGTAGAAGTTTGAAAGCAGAAACAGTGTCAAAAGCTTTTGACAGGTCGAGGAAAATACCCATGACTTTCATGTTATTGTAAATTTTTGCTGTAACCGGATTTGTAACGTCCAAAACGGCATCCTCCGTAGACCTGTTACCTCTAAAATCATACTGATTGTTAGCAAGTATGTGATTTTTGTTTAGATAATTGATAAGCCTTTTGTTCAGTATTTTTTCAAATCTTTCGAGAGGTTTGTGAGAACAAGTCGGTCTATAGTTGTTGACACTATCTCTGATTCCATTTTTGTGTATTGGATATATAAGGGCCCTTTTGAGCACTTTCTGGAATACTACTGTCGTGAGGCAGCAATTGAAAACATGTTTAATAATAGAAGTGAGACTGTGACGTCCAGATTTTATAATGGAGGCAGGTATTTTATCCCAACCTAGGGCACAATTATCCTTGATGTTAAGAATACTATGCTCAATTTCATTTGATTCTATTTCTGTTAGAGCCATAGACTTGAGTTGGCGCCGCCGGAACACACCGCTAAGGTGCGAAGGAGTAGTGTTGTTAGAAATTGAAGAGTTCAAGAGTATATTGTTTGCAAGTTTCTGACCCCTACCAGCAAAAAGTTATTGAATGTATTTACAGAGCTAGTAGGATTTTCTTTTAATCTGAGTAACTCACATGATGATGAGTGGGCTTCATTAAAGTTTGCAATTGTATTTATGGTCGCCCATGAAGCCTTGGGATTATACCCGGGCCCTCTGCAGTTCGCTTTCCTCATAATTAAGTTTAATTTGCTTTAATAAATTATTATAATAGTTCCCAGTCAGGGGGTGTCAATCTCAACTTCCGGGCCGAAAGTTGTGATTTGATACACGGGTATGCGACCCCGGCTTCCCGAGCTACCATTGTCGTCACCTCACCTATATTCCGAGACAATAGTATCCCATTATATTTATATCCTCTCTCGCAGTCACAATTATTCCCTTTCAATCCTATAAGCCATAGGATGAAGTTGGATCTAAATGTTGGTCAGAAAGTGTATCCACTATGGCCGAATTAATATTTATGTCTTGTTATTTACCTTCAACATCGTCCAGCTATTGTCAACTGACAAGTTCACTAAAGATACATGTATACATGAATTATTTCTACAAATAATCCATCATGATAGGTAGGTAAATATCGGGGATTCCTCATAACTTAGCAAGACTAATTTTTATATTAATAAATAGGCCAATAATCAGTTTGTACGCTGATAAGTACAAACTTCACAGCCTTTTTTACATTCTGGCATGCTATCGTGGGTTCGTTAAATATAACTAAATGGTATTTTCCTCTATGGATATAAAAGTATTGCTTGTATTGTCTCCAGGGTACGTCCGTATAAGCTCGAAATCAGGTACTTTATACGGTAACAGTTCTAATCGTTATGTGATTAACACATAGTAATCAGAGCTTGTTTTGACTTAATTAAATTTAAATGTGCATACAGCAGTTTATATCTATGACATCATATTATACTATAGTAACTGAAGGGCAATTCTCGTAATAAAAGCTCGGTCTCAATTCAGACCCGATCAACTTTCGATCTCACAAATGTCATTTAAGGTATTTTCGTAGTAAAATATTAAAGTATTACTAAGACAAACAGATTACCTATTCAATTTTCGGTTAAAATACGATATAATCACATTACAGTCAACGTTGGATGTTTAATAATTTACAACAAAAATACCTTTTATGAGATATTGATAAAAAATTACAAGCATCAAACTCTGGTACAAAATGAAGCCTTAAACATCATTTCTTTTGTCTTTTAGATACATTTAATGATTTAAAAGCAGGTTGTAGAGTCTTTCGTGTACATGGGAGTTTACAGTAACAATTCAATTTATTATAGTGTAGTCAAATATATAACTTGCAAAAAAGCGAATTCTGTGCCATGTGCAAAAGATTTCATCTTAGTTGCTTTAAGGTACTAAACACAGGAACAGGCAGAGTTTTATTGCTATAGCTTGTGGATAATTGCCGAAGTCGTTATTTTTATCGAGATAAAATAAACTACAAGATGCTAATAATATGTTATACCATAATACTTACAATCCATCGAACCCGCAGGTTAGTAGCGCTTACAGCTCGAACTGTAACATTCTTGGGTGCGTGCTGAGGCGGGGCTTGAATCGTTTGAAACTCTTTACAAGGCTCCGAAGGTGGTGATGACCCAACTACATTGGTTGCGATTAATCTTAGTCTGTATGTTGTGAATGGAATTAGACCAGTAACATGTATTGACTGCGCTTCCGGTGCGTTGACTTCGAAGATTGTCACCCACGATGAATTGCGTGCTGTTTGGGCCTATAATATGAAACATTTTTGTACAACCGTTAACACGTAATGTTCTGAAACCTTTAACACATAAACGATTTTTTTCTAAATTATAGCAACATGAAAACTAAACTCACATACACAACCTTTTATAAGAATAGTAGTTAAGGGTTAACAATTGCTGCAAACTCACCATACCAATTTTTAGTAACGTGTACTCACTATGACCACTTGAACATACATTTGTACAAATATATAGAATATTGTATGTAAGTAAAAGTTACATTATTTTGTGTGGTAGCATAATAAAATGTAACCTTAGACATTTTCGAGCATCTCACACACAACGCCATCTATTTTCAAACTTAGCAGAGCTTGTTTGTACTACTAAGATGGACTGGTAGAATACTTATATACTTTTTTCCTTGTAAATACATGCAGATAATACTTATAACACACCCAAACTCCGAAACAAATATTTGCAGATCATACAAACATTTGGTCCGACCCGGGATTCGAACCCGAGACCTCAGGCAGTGCAGTCGTATACGCCACCACTGCACGACAGCACAGCACAAATATGTATAACACAGGTTTGACATGGCAAAAGTGCGTTGTCGTAATGTTTTTCTTTTCAAAGGCTGCTTGGAAACAGGCGGTTGTAAATCGGCACAGACATATAATGGATTAATTTAACTTTTCTAAACATTTGAGAAAACAGATTGTTTCTATTATGCGTGTTGATTTATGACTTTAGAGTCTAAGACAATTTCAAACAATTTTTAAACGAATTATATGAAATAAAGATATTTTCAGTTTGACTATACTTACCTACAGAGTAACTCGAGTAGAAGTAAATAATCTCTGTTGTCAGCAGAATAGGTACACTAACCGTTACCATATGTATAGTATACTTACGTATAACACATGCCTTTTTTATTCTCACGACTTTGTTATTGACACTTAGTAATTACAAGTAATACAATATGATAACAATATTACTGCTTACTTGTACAGTCCATAGGGATATGGAAGAATTGCCATCGAATCCTTGTGTAAACTGTAGAAGTACCGAAAAGGCTTCAATATTGGACAGTGCGAGGTTCCTTGGCGCTTCAGGCAGCACTGGTTCAACACCAGATTGAATAACAGCAGCCCATGCTGGACCTTCACCTACTGCCGTCATTGCACAAAGCCAAAATCTGTAGTGAGTACTGGCCTGAAAATTAAGAAAACATCATTTATAAGTTTACAGAGTAAATTATTAAACTGAAAAATAAATTTACGGTTTTTTTTTCAAAACTGTTTACGGCTATTGAAACTTTAAATATTATTATATTGCATACTTCCAAAATATTTTCATTTTTAAACTTCACATCACATCAATCAACAACCTGTAATAGTCCACTGCTGGACGTAGACCTCTCGTTAGATAAGAGGTTTTGGCCTACTATACCACGCTGGCCAGCCCGTCTGGCCAGCGTGGTATAGGGTTTGTTTAAAGTTTACCTTCTCTTTGCAGTGCTGTTGTACTGCGTAGTTTGCTCCCTTAGTCGGCCTTACGACACCCACGGGATGAATATGGGTGGTGACACTTCGTATTCTTAATCCGTCACCACACAGACAAACTTCAATAACATGGATATCAGTGGCAAAGTCTCATACAGACAATAGCAAATAATTATTTATTACATACCTGCAGATGCTCTACTTTAATACTGGTTATATTTGGGGGTAACACCTCTTCCTTATAAGTGTCATTGTCATCTTTCATTTGATATGATAGTTTATATCCCATAAGTATACCATTGGACTTTTTAGGTGAACTCCAAGACACCCTTACTGCTCTATCTGATATGTCGTCGAACAGTAGGCTTCCTACTTCATCCGGTACTGAAGAAAGAAGTATTAAAGAATAATAAAAAAATGTTAACATTAAGTTTGTATGAAATTCAAATAATAATTTGATGAAAGTTACACACGTAGTAGGAAATTATGATTAACAACTTACTGTCTTCCTTCGTTCTGACTAACACATAGTCACTCTGAGGACCATCTCCAGGTTCCGTGAAACATAATACTGTTACATTATATTCGGTGAACTTGTCAAGACCGCTTATTAGCGCTGATTGTTCAGTTAGAGGATCTAATAAGTTTGGAGGTACGCTCACTAATTTTTGTTCAATATTAGTACCTTCCTTTTCATCCCAAATCCATGCTTGTAGTTTGTAGCCCTAAAAACAAGAAAATACATTAAGACTTGAATGCAAAATTTAGGTATTAAGCACAACAACAATGCGTGTTTACACTACACGTGTAAATAGGTGAGAACCTTTAGTACTGAATATTACTACATAAGATACCTATTTCTTACAAAGAAACACACCGTTAGTCTTTGTAATGAGCCGAATCTCGGCCGCTTAATATAATAAACATATTTTTACGATACGTGCGTACATACCTGATTAATTCCATTGATTTTTTGTGGGTTCGGTGGTGTCCACCAGACAGATAATGCTGTTGAATTAAAAGGTTCACATCGAACACTGTCAGGAGGAGCTTCTGGAACACCTTCTTTAGTTTTAATCGTATAACTATCTGAAAAGACACCCACACCCTTGTCGTTGTACGCTGCAATTTGCACGTTGTAGTCTTTCCAGGTTATTAAGTCTTGTATAAGATAATTTCTTTGCGCTTCGTTAGTAATGTTCTGATAAGTCCAGGGGCTGTTCTCGTATCCGCGCAGTCTGTATCTGATCACATACCCCAGAATGTGGCCGTTTCTGTGTTCCTCGAGCGGTGGCTGCCATTGAGTAATTATTTCTGATGAAGAGCGCGCTGATCCCATAAAACCTACTGGAGGCCCAGAAGGTGCTAGAAATATTGTGCGAAAAAATTAGTCTACAAGTTACAGTTAAAGTTCCTTTAAGGTTCAATTCAGTTCAAGAGGCAAATAGCCTTTACAATTACTTAGTTAAGGTTTGCATCCATGTTTTTATACAAATTGGGTAGGTTCTTACTATGTCATGCATCTTATTTACAATATAGACAGAAACATTGGCACATCAATCTAATTGACATCACAATTCATGCAGACATACCAATTATTACTACAAAATTATTTATTTTACTTGTTTAACTGAACATACAGTGATAAACATAAATAAATATGTACTTCTTCATGGAATCCATGTCACGGAAGTGTGTACTAAATTATCAAAATGCAAACGAAACTTTAGTGTCAAACAACTTATAAGAAATAAACGCAATCACGACTAAATAAAACAAAAAATTAAAATGAATGCACCATCTAGTTCGCCGAGTTCTGCATACCTTGGCAGCATATAAGATCACTGGCTGCTTGATCACAAAGAGAATAAATACATTTTATTACCATGAGATACGTTCATATACTACATATTATTATGATCTTCGTGAATAAGAATTATAAACAAACAATATGAAGTGCAGATATTGATGAAATATATTGTGTTCTTGGGCATTAGACATTTTAAGTCGCATATGTGAAATATGAAATCATCAAATACATATAATTGCTCGTGTAGCATTTAAATTATATTAATTTATTTTTGGAGATCAACTGTCGTTGACTCACAATATTATTTTAATTATTAAAATCATGTAAAAAATCTGTATTACACAACAAACCTTCTTGTGGCAAAGTTAGGACATCAGTAGGGTCCGATGCAGGGCCTTCTCCGACTGTGTTGACTGCTGATACTCTAAACTGATATGAAGTGGCCGCTTTTAAGGTAGTTAAAAGAATCCATCGTTGATTTGCAGACACGTTCATGGGTTCTGTTATCCAATTTAACAATGGGTCGGGCGTAGGACCTGTATAAAAGACATGTTGTCAAAGGGATTAACATTATTTTCGTGAAAAAGTATTTACTATTCAATTTTCTGCTACCAATATAGTGTTTTCAGTTCTTACCAAATTCGGGAACAACTCTTCTTTGAACAATAAACTTTTGTATGGGGGAATTCCCATCGAAACCCGGTGTCCAGGATATATTGACAGCTCGTTGTGATGCGGCATCCAATCTTACGGCACGAACGTTATTAGGAGCAAAGGGTAGTTCGATAACCGATAAAAGTGCGTGTCGGGTGTGGTTTCCCCCAGGTGACGTCACTACACACGTATATTCTCCCGCGTCACTCGCACGCACCGCCTGCACTTGTAGTGCTCCATCTGCTGTCACCCATACTCGAGAACCGGCTGTCATAGGTCTACAAGAATAAAGAAAGGAATATTGTCACATCTGTCATAAATATATATATATGTTTAAGGAATACTTTTACTCACTGTTTATTATGAAACCAGTCAATATTGAATTTAACATTCGGGTCGTTCGATACTTTGCATTGTAAGGTAGCAGTGTGACCCAATAACACGCGCGTATCTACAGGTGGGGCAATTATTTGAGTTCTCACTGAAAAAAACAATCATATTGAATGTTTGTTTACCAATCGCTTATATTCTGAAGTCCGTAATATGTAACTGCTGCTAATTAACTGGACAAACTTAAAAATAACAAAATCTTTGTTACTACATATGAATGCAATGAAGCTGCTTGCTTATATAATAGTTTATGTCTTTGTATGGATGAAAGGATTTAAGAAATAACTAAATACCCTCATTCAGCTCAATGTGATAACAAGGAGCATCAACACGTATTTCAGACTTTGTGAAGACGTCACAACGTTTGCATACGGTATAAACGATGATTAGTGCAATAGTGTTTTAGGCCATCCAAGTAATTTTGAGCTCTATAGGAAATTACAAAATTACACTGGTACCTATAGGCAGACAGAGTGCATTTTCAATGTAGCAAAAATTTGATAACACGAATTGAGATAAAGGTAATCTAATCAAATGATTTATTTCTATAAATATATAATTGCCAAAGTCTGCACTAATTACACAATACCAATGAAGAAAATATTTTGGATGCATTGTAGTGTAATGTATGTACCTAATACAGTAAGGTAAGCTTCTCCTGAAACGTTGCCGGCATCGTTTGATCTCACACAAGTGTATTTTCCACTGTCCGCATTAGTAGTACTAGTAATTAACAAGTCACCTTCCTCTAGCGCTTGCAGTCGTCCCGAGAGGTTTATGATCAAAGAATCTGAAATGTTGATGAAATTACATTACACGTTAACGATAAATTTTTTTGCTCAATTTATTCTGTCTACAAGTTTTCTGTGCCATAAACTTGGATACGACTTTTGAAAAAAATAATTGAAGTCGTTGACTGTAGGTTAAACGATTGTTACTAGGCTTGACAAATGGTAAAACATCTCACTTAGAACCTTACCCCATGCGATGAACGAGATGAAAGAGTGAAAGCAATACTAATATTTCGATAATGGGGTTGAGGTAAAAATGAAAAAAAAATGTATTTTCCAACAGCTTTTTTAGCAAATTAATTATTTCCAATTTCAGTTAGTACTAGTACAATATACATCATCATCATACAATACAAATCTATCATCTAATAAAATGTATGTTGAAAATCTAGAGTTATGGAAGCTATAACTTGCATTTCATATCACACGTTTACTGACCATTAAAGTACCAGGTAACGTTGGGGTTAGGTGCTCCGACTGCACGGCACGTGATGGTGGCATCCTTCCCGTCAAGAACTGTCAGGTTGGCCGGTGCACTCTGCATTATGGGCGGGGACGCTACAAGCCACACGCACTCTAGTTAGTCTACACAATACTAGCGGGATATTCGTACTGTAGACTTAGTCGCTATTCTAATAGGTATGTATGTATTATTATCAGTGTAAAACTCTAAAATAGTGTAAGTAATAAAGCGCATGCAAGGATTTTTTAAATATGCAGTTACATGTTATGGAGGTTTATTTGCCGCCCGGCTCAATAATAAATTCGATTGTATTGAATTTTTATAGGAGTTAACAATAAAAAATTAACTGTTTTTTTAAACCAGTAATAAAAAGATTTCTTTCACCCAGAAGAATTTTTTATATTCACTTAAGACGTTCAACTTATGAAATAACTTCTTAAATTATATTTTAATCGAGTAGAAAAACCAAAAAGTCCTCCACTCAATGTATTACTCGAGTAAAGGCAACGGAGTCAGTCGCTATATGGCTTTTTATTTTTTTAGAAAAGTATAAATAAAGAACAAAATCTACTCGTACAACACACGGTGCTTAAAAGAACAGGCCACATTGAATATAGTTTATGTTTCAATGTATCTATAGTATATCCATACAAAAATAAATACACATAAGTATATAGAGGATCAATAAATTACATGCATTATACTCATCATAGTCTACTTTAATGAGTCGTGCAGCGAAGAGTGATTACCTACATGTTAACAGTGTTTTTCATGTACTTCCGATATCGAGCGTGGACACTTAGTAAACTGCGCAGGTGGGCCGCACTATAATTTTACAGGGATAAATGAATTTTTTAGAGGGATGCCCGTTAAATACCCGCTTTTTACGCACTTTACAACTTATAGGAATGTTAGGTGGCCTCGTCTTGATTTTGCGCAAGTTATTTAAATTTTGTATGAGGATGTTTATAAAGAATTGTACAAATTTTACACATAATTATATGTATCCATATAATATATAGATTATATCACATTAAACTAATAATGAGAGACAACCATACCATCTATATACATTTCTACTAATGGCGTCAATATTCATTGTAATTAAAACAATAAAACCTATACTGGGGAAAACAATATAAATAAAGCAATCATCACTCGGTGCTGATAAAAAAAAAACTGCTATGCTAGGGTGTTGTGTAAAATGACAACAAGTAGTTTTTCTTACTGCCGGTGTCAAATCTGAACGTTTTTGCTTTTTTATCTGAGGTCCTCATTCTTATTAACTTCATGTGACTGCGTGGTAACCGCCTATTGTCCTTCACTGTACGATAGGTTATTAGTTAGATGCAATGTTGCTAAGACTAATATCTCTTATACGTAACCTTATATTTTTGCCTTATAGGACTAAAGACAATCAGGTCGCAATAGAGCCATTGTTTTATTGTCATTTATACTTATAATTGGCAGGTACATGCATTTTAACAATATTAGATTTGTGTCAGATTCGATTATATTGTAAACAACAATAATGGTTTAATAGCTTCTAATGAACTTACTCTTTATTTTCAACCATGTATAAATAGATGTTTCTCCAGCTTCGTTGTTTGCAATACATTGATATATTCCTGTGTCTTCCATCTTTAGGTCATTAATTATAAGTGAGCGATCAACTTCTACCCGATATCTACCACCGCCGTCGTCAACGTCCGGATTGTCAAAGTTTTCAGCATCAGCGCCGACGCTAGCAATTTTTCTCGCATCTTTATACCATGTAATGCCAGGTAGAGGTATACCCTGAACATTACATTCTAAAACTATTGAACTACCGAATTCACCAAAAGTTTCAGCTTTTAAATTCGAAAGAAACACTGGTTTCTCTAATACCGTAACATAGGCCGACGCTGTAACAGTCGCATAACCTCCGGTTTTTAATCTGGTTTGGCACGTGTACTGTCCTGTATGAGTTAAGTTTGCTGATATAAGAGATAAAGTTCTATTCCACTGGTCATTCAAGTCAAATGTGATCCCCGCCAGATCTATCATTATCCCATCTTTGAACCAGAGTGTTTCCAATTCGTGTAAAGGTCTAGCGTTTGCAATACAATATAAACTAGTATATTCTTGACCTTTTACTATCTTAGTATCTTCAGGTTTTATAATAATTTCAGGTGGAATTTCTCTGCTGTCGTTTCCAAAAACGTTTAATTGTATATAGGGGCTATTTTCAGCTTTTCCGAGTTGTGTATTTATGGCACGTACTCTGAAATTCACAGTAAGGTTAACAAACAAGATCGAAAGTAAAATGTTAATGTACTTGTACTTTTTATGGGAATCAAGAAACACTCTACATTCACCATTTTTATTATACACGTCTGTGACTGATTTTAAGATATAGTCATCATATATTAAATGCTTCAGTGTATAACCGACTATGCATTTTATAATGAACCATAGATATGATTGATTATAATAATTACAATACATTGTTTATGATACAAACCTGTATGCTTTCTCATCTTCGTGTGAAGTACACAATATGACAAGTTCGTGCTTGTCAGTCACTGCATATTTCTGGTCGTATCTTAAAGATCCGTTTTCATCTTGCCATATAACTGATGGCGGAGGTTCAGATTCTATCTGAGGAAAAGGTAGTATGGCCGCTCTACCAGATTCAACACTTATAACTGTATCTGCTAAATTTTCAAATATTCCCATATCTGTAAATATTTATCAGGTGTTACTTTTATAATCATCGTAAGTTAGAGACTTCCTTTTTGTAAACAGTTGTGCCCGTTGTGCCATTTCCAGGACGGTAAAAAAGTTTTCTCCAAGATTATTCCGCATGCACAACAAAGAGTCACATGAATGTACAAAGCGACGACGTATGAAAGTTTACTTACACGCGACGACAATGTTGTTCTTTGCACTGAATATTGCTCCGACATCATTTTTCGCTATACACTGGTACGCTCCGGCATCCTTCCGCTGAGTATTGTGAATCTTATAAAACAACTCTGATGAATAATCGCCCAGCGGTACATTATTTCTTAACCAACGATACATTGGCTGCGGTATACCTAAAGTATTATTAAATGTTAGGAATGAGGAATATGTATAGTGTAATACGAAAATCTAGTTTAATATTTTTTTTTAATCTTACCAATTGCAGAACACTGTAAAATTTTTGTTGTGCCTTCCCTTACCACACTATTCGATGATGATGGTTGCATACTAAACCGTGGTGGCTGCATTTGAACTGAAAAAGAAAAATGACAATTAATCGAATTTAATTGGTAAGTCAAATTATAGCCTAATAAGTAATTATGGGGGAGAAAATTACTCTCACACAATACTCCATGTGGTTGAAAAAGTGGTAGACATATTTAACAAAAGCATAATACCGTACAGACACTGTATAAAAAATAGCGACGTAAGAGACTTTGTACGGATTGGTAAAAATTAAAACTTTTATAATACATTTAATAAGGGGTACAGTCACACAGAAAACTATAATTCAATTTTGAATCGCGTTAACAATTTCGACTACCCGCGCAACATTAGAGGAGGTGAAGCTTATTGACAGAATGTATCTCTATCAATATTGTGACTGCGGAAGATTGATGTTGTGATATTTATATACGTTTAATTTTTAACGTTTTCAAAATGTTCCCATTGTAAGAGTGTGATTATAAATATTTTGCGAAACACCACTTTAATATTTAAGGCAAAAACCTGATATTTGTTTATCAGGTTTTTGCCTTATACAAACGCATAGCAATGTAGACGTATATTGTAAAACGTCGAGAACTTCCTTTAGTCACTTCAAGAAATAAATTCATTAATTTCTCTGACATTCATTGAAATTTATGTGTATAAATACATTTACAAAACTTCACGTATAATTGCAAAGTATTGAGTATTTCATGATAAACAAATCGATTACAAATACTCTGCTCCCATTAGGTTATCCAGGAAATAGAAATAAAGATGCAGACATTTAGAACAATCTGTTGACGGATTGCTTCTTTCTTGAATAACGCTGAGCTAGTGTGAGAGCTATTCTTTTTGATTACAACGCGTGCTTACTTTGGAATCGGTACAGATGACACTTATTTAACTTTGATTGTAATACATAGTTGACCTCTATCCAGGACTTATCTTTAACCCTTTTCTTTAGTAACTGTCGCTTTGGGATAAATTAGGCCAAGCACGTATAAATTTCACAAAATCCTTTCGAAGTTTAGAAAATCCGTTGTAACTAATGAGTAGAGCTTTTTGCAGATGGGAAACTCAAAAATAAGGTGGTGCCTCTTCCTGTAAAAATTATACTACACTAAATACTTTTCATTTTTTTTAAAGACAACTTCTGCATTAGGAATATATCCTGTGTCGCAGGGGACTTTACAAACATATATGAAATGGACACAAAGAACACCCAGACTCATCATCAGCCTATCGCAGTCCACTGCTGGACATAGGCCTCTCCCATTGCACGCCACTTAGATCGATTTTGGGCTTCTCGCATCCAGCTCCTGCCAGCCATCTTGCGCAAATCGTCACTCCACCTGGCCTGTGGGCGTCCTACACTACGTTTGCCGAGACGCGGTCTCCACTCAAGAACTCGTTTTCCCCAACGGTTATCGTTTCTGCGGCTAATATGGCCAGCCCACTGCCACTTCAGCTTGCTGATCCGGTACGCTATGTCGGTGACCTTAGTTCTCTGCCGGATCACCTCATTTCTGATGCGATCCCTTAGAGAAACGCCGAGCATAGCCCTTTCCATAGCACGTTGAGCGACTTTGAACTTGTGGACCAGCCGTACCGTAAGTGTCCACGTTTCAGCTCCGTATGTCATGACGGGTAGGACGCACTCATTAAAGACTTTCGTCTTAAGGCACTGTGGGATCGACGATGAGAAGACTCGACGTAGCTTCCCAAACCTGCTCAACCCAACCGAATTCTTCTGTTCACCTCGTCCTCGAAGTTGTTTCTACCTAACTGCAATGTCTGCCCGAGGTACACATAATTTTGAACAACTTCGAGAACGGCACCGTGTACCGCAATCGGTTCCGGTAGTACATGTTCGTTAAACATGACCTTGGTTTTATCCAAGTTCATCCGTAGGCCGATGCGTACAGAAGTGTCAGCTAAGTTATTCAGCATTTGCTGTAGGTCCTGCAACGTCTCTGCCATGATGACGATGTCATCTGCAAATCGCAAGTGAGAGATGTATTCGCCATTGATATTGATGCCACGCCCTTTCCAGTGCAGCGTCTTGAACATGTCCTCCATTGCATTTGTGAACAATTTCGGGGAAATAACGTCTCCTTGTCTCACTCCTCGATGCAATGGTACGGGCCTTGTTTGCTGATTCTGTACTTGGACGGACATGGTGGCGGCTTCGTAGAGACATCTCATCACTTGGATGTATCGCCAATCTACTTGGCAACGCTGCAGGGACTCCAGAACAGACCAGATCTCGATCGAGTCAAAGGCTTTCTCATAGTCCACGAATGCTAGACACAGGGGGCTGATTATATTCTTCGGTCTTCTGTATAATCTGCCGCACTGTGTGGATGTGGTCTATGGTGCCATATCCGCTCCGAAACCCAGCTTGCTCCGGTGGTTGGAATTCGTCGAGTCTTTGCGCAAGACGGTTCGTGATGACTCTCGAAAACAGCTTGTAGACGTGGCTTAGAAGGGATATGGGTCGATAGTTCTTCAACCTGGTCTTGTCACCCTTTTTGAAGAACAAGACGACCACACTCCTACTCCACGCTTCTGGAGTTCTCCCTTCAAACAGCACAGCGTTGAAGAGCTTTTGGAGCTCCCTTAGTACGGGTTTACCCCCGGCCTTCAGCAGCTCTGTTATAACGCCATCCTCTCCAGGGGCTTTTCCATTTTTCAGCTGTCCAAGAGCCATCTCGATTTCGTCAATGCTAACTTCTTTCAGGTCTTCGGTGTAGTGACGTGTTAATGTGGCTCTAGAGTCCTCATTTTCGGGATCAGGTCGAGATGCATGCGAAGCGTATAACTGGCCATAGAAGCTTTCCACTTCCAAAAGGACTGCCAGCTTCGAAGCAACGACTTCTCCACTTTCTGTAGTCAACTTTGTCAGGTGGCTTCTTCCAAGAGATTGTACGAACACTTTTGACCCCCGATTTTGCTCGATCGCTCTTTCAATTGAAAGAGTATTGGAGCACCGGAGGTCGTGTCGTACGAGTTTACTGATCTCTCGGTTTAGAGTCCGCTTTGCCGACAAAGTGACAGGTGGGTTTTCACGTCGTTTCTTCATCAGCCCTAGGGTCCTTTCTGAAAACTTCGACTTCCTGCCCTTACGCTGCATTTCACAAAATGTCATACCTTCTTCCCTGAGGATCTGAACCACATTTTTGAGGTTCTGGTTTACGTCGATTGTAGTTTCCACGGCAGCGAATCGGTTTTCCAGTTTTGACTGGAACGTTTCAGATCCTGTCATGGCTTGGAGCCGAGTTGGTCGGAGCCTGGATTTCATCAAACAGACACGTTCCGCCTTAAAGTTGATATTCAGAGAGCCCCGGACAAGTCGGTGATCACTACCGGTATTAAACCTATTGATCACGACATTGACGTCTCTGAATATGTGCTTTCTATCCGTCATGATGAAATCGATCTCATTTCTAGTCATAGCGTCGGGGCTTTGCCACGTCCACTTCCTTTGGGGCTGTTTCTTGAAGAAAGAATTCATCAAAAAACAGCCCCTCCCGTTCGAGGAAGTTGACCAGCATTTGCCCCCTATGATTCCTGCTTCCAAATCCATGGGATCCTACTACCGATTCGCCGCAATTCTGTACTCCCACTTTAGCGTTGAAGTCACCCATAACAACGTTGTAGTGGGTCTTAGTTGTGAAGTGGAGGGCCCTCGATATGTCATCGTACATATCCTCCACCTCATCGTCGGAATGTGCCGAGGTCGGTGCGTACACTTGCACAACCTTGAGGCTATACCTCTCGGTGAGCTTGATAATGAGGTACGCTACCCTGTTCGACACACTGGAAATTTCCACAACGTTGTCAGATAGGGACTTATTTACCAGAAACCCAACCCCACCTTGGGATTGTTGGTCTCCCTCGCGGAAGTACATTAGGTGGCCTGACTCGAGGGTTATGGTGTCCTCCCCCTCTCTTCGGACTTCACATAGCCTAGGATATGCCACCTAATCTTCCCAAGTTCCACCTCAAGTTGCGCCAGATGCGAGTCTAGCCGTAGCGTGCGTCCGTTGTACGTAGCCAGGGTCAGTCGGTTGTGGTGGCCTCCCGTAGCCCGGAGATTCTTCGCACCCCCTGCCCCGCCTTTACCGTGGTCGCCACCATGACCAGGAATAGCGGGGCCGCCGGGAACTTGGGGCCGTGGCCTTTGTTGCGTCTGCATGGGAGGGGTTTGCCCATAATCGCCACGCTGGGCAGGCGGGTTGGCGATCGCAGGGCGTAGCTTGTCGCACCGGTAACGCTGCTGCCCGTCACCGGCCTGTTGTATTTAGCTACGCCTATTGGGATGGATATACCGCCATCGGTCGGTCGCCAGAGCCTCGTTCGTCGTTCAGCAGGATGCACCGCGGGCAGGTGAGGTTGGCTTGGGGCGAAAGATGGTAGTTCGCCCCTCACACCCCTGTGTGACGACAAAGTGTCGTCTCATGTGGGGATCGGACCCACAACACTCAGCGTAGTAGCACGGTACAATTATAATACAGTACTCCAACTTCATACAAACGGACGAAACGCGAGCTATACCTACGCGCCTCGATCTCGGGGTGCGCTCGGGGCGCAGAGAGTCACGGCTGTACCGCAGTGTCGAACGGACGGTGTGTTGTTTTTTTAACAATAACCGCGCGATTTTTTCTCTAAAAATCAGTTAATATGACGAGTAGCAAATATTGTGCTGTTTTTGGTTGTATGAATTCGTCAATAACGCATCCAGACATAAGTTTTTTTAAATTACCTGGAAACTCTGAAAGGTAAGACTATAAAATAATTTTACTTACTAGTAGGTAGGTACATAATGTGTGTCTTTTTAATTGATAAGTATTTCCTTTTATCTCACGAAAAAAAAGGTGTTTGGATTAATAAATAAAGCGAATAGGAAACGGATTGAGACGAGTGAAATAGGTAGTTATATGCGGTTCTGAATGAATCATGATACGGTAGGTACCTACCTACTTAGCTTGTGTTAAAACTTCGGTGCATGTGTGTTTTGTTACTTTGCATAATTCAA